GACATCTGTGATACCACATGAATACAACAACACTTTTTATCCAATAAGTTCTTTTTTTGGTAATACACAAGTACGACATGCTTTTGATAAATGAGAAGCAGGATTTAACCAGGAACCATACTGCCACAAGCTGATGTCCAAACCAAGTAAATTCAAGAAGAATCCAGAATCCCATCTGCAGAAGAATGATGTATATTTTCCCAAACATTGGATCTCATCTTTAATTTGACCCTTTCCTCAATAGCTTTCAGGCAACTACAAATGGAAATGGGCCAACATGCAAACTCTACACAGGAATGTCCCTCAAAATAGAGATCAATGTACTAGCAACCATGCCAAAATATGACAGAAAGTGGTTGTGTATTTGAACAATTTTAGCAAGTATGTACTGTATATATGTTGGACGGTTTGTATCATCAGCTCTTATCATAAAACCATATGCACATACTTCTTCTATCTTCCATCACCATGAATGCAAGCATCTCTATTTCTTTTTCATTAGAATCACAAGTAGGTTCTGTGTGAGGACTTGGCACAAAACCTGCATTTATCTCCAGGCATATAAAGTATCGCTGGGTTATATATATGTGTTACTGCGGTAGTGACAGGAGCGAGGCTGATAACGTCCATGATGAATGCACTCACACTGATACGGATTAGAATTATGAGCGATAATATATGGTATACAGAGCTTTCATGGGATGCAGCAAAACGTCTTCACTGTAAGAGTTAGTTAGTTAGTTATTTATTTAAAAGGACAACGGACAGGTACATTAAAAAGATGGCTGCCCCAGATTTAGCACAATGCTAATTTCCATCTGTAGTCCTTATACAATCAAAAATACAATTAAAATACATAGCAGAGTTAATTACAATACAAAACATAGACAATAAACATGCAATATATAGTAAAAGTGCAGATGAAAAGTGCCAGTTGCGTTCATAAAGTGCAGAATGATAAAGTGCAACAGTTTTCATAATTATTTAGTAGCTATACATACTTAGCACATAGATACAATAGTTTTTAACACTAATAATGTGGTGATGTGGTGGCCATCAGACGATACCCGCGAGGGTAACACCTGATGGCCAAGTATCCATCTGGTACTTTTAGTGCGAGCAGGACTGTTGATCTAAAAGCCAGTCTTTAACTGCCCGTGAAAAACTGTGGAAATCTGCATTGTTCTTTAGATTGTCTGGGAGCCCATTCCATTCTTTAGTGGCTTTGTAGGAAAAGGCTGATTGAGAGAAGGCAGACTTTCTCTTAGGAACATTGCAGTCACCCCTGGACACAGATCTTGTCTTGAAGATGTATTGTGTCGACTATATAAGGATATTACTATTTCCGTTTTCAATCAAAATGATTTAAAATTGTGTAGCTTCTTCTTTCAGCAAAATACGTTCAGTTACAAGTCCAAATGTTTAGAAAAGAGCATTCACTTCTGTAGGATGAAGATGGATTGATAGATGCTTCCTGTGTGCCATTCATAACATGTTTCATTAGTGTGTTAGGTCTTCATATCGTTCGGACTAAAATGAAATATTAGACTCCAATTCATCACAGTCCGCGTCCCTCTGAGAAGAAACAGCAGGATGTGAGTGAAGTGATCCGGTTCTCTGTGCGGCTCCAAAAACTTTATATTCATCATTATGACATCCTTAATGAGAGCGTTAATGCGTCAAATCACAAAACAGATGAAAAGAGCACCCCAGATGGGACTCGAACCCACAATCCCTGGCTTAGGAGGCCAGTGCCTTATCCATTAGGCCACTGGGGCTTGAATATTGGGGTTGTCACATCTATTGATGGACAAAAGCTTTAACAATAGAAGTGGTCCGGCAGCACAGAACAATACTGCACAATGAGCATGGTGGCTTTATCCCCACCGAGCCTGACGTATTGTGTCAAGTCCATGGTCCGCACATTAGTTTACATAAAGGTTTACACATCCATACTTTGTGCTTCTCTAAGTTCAAACTGCATACCGTTAATCAATTTGTAACAACATGAAATATCCATTGCAAATAAGGGGTTAGTGTTACTTTGATCCTCAGTGTGGGCAAAACAACAAATACAGAAAAAAAAAGTATGTACTTTTTTTTTTTCTAGTTCATTGTGTTGCAATTTGCTCAGTGTAATCTTTAATTAAGACATGTTCACTCACTTTCTTCCACGTTTCTGGGTTGTGGAGGCAGAAGTCTGAGCATAGTTCAACCACACTCACACTTTTTCTGGCTCATTTGTGGGAATCCCGTGGAGTTCCCAGGCCAGCTGAGAAACTTAGGCCCTCCAACATGTCCTGGGCCTTCTCTGGAGTCTCCTTTAGATGTGGAAGAGCAGCATCTCTACTCTGAGCTCCACTCCACTCCCCACCTGTCTGTGGAGGAAATGAATTTGCACCACTTAAATTCAGGACCTCATTCTATTGGTCATTACCCAAAGCTTATGACCATAGGTGAGAGTGGGGACCGGTAAAATAAAAGCTTTTCCTTTTGACTCAGCTCCCTCTTCACCACAACAGTCCAATACAGCAATTATTAGTATGTCTTGCCTGTGAAAATGCATAAAAGTACAAATATGGAACATGATATTCTGTTATAACTTCTTCTAATAACACCCATTTGATCTGCTAAATGCCCATTTTCTATTTTGTTAGTGAGACGTTCAAATCTTGCTCCACTCCCCTCTCTATTGTCTCTAACAGTCTTCATACGCGGAGAAGAACTTGTGGTCCCAGATTGTGCCCTGCTCCTCGTCTGTCACTCAAACATATTTATGTGCTCTCATATAAAGCCATCATCTGTCACCGCTCTGTTCATGTCAGAGGGTTCAGCGTGAGAGAGATTGGTGCATGTTGTTATCAGCTCAAACAGGAGCAGAATACAAGGCTGACTCAAACCATGCAAATTATTAAATCTAGGATCTTGTCTGGAGCATTTTGTCGATTTGATGAGTGTTCAAGCATTATACTGAATTGAAAAGTTTGCCACAGTTTTGGCTTGTTATCAGATACAACAGCAAGAAGATTGGCAATTTGTCTGCATAAGATATATACCATCAATATTATTGTTAGTTCAAAGAAATGCAAAATAGAATAGTATTAATTAAGAACATTATTGAGAGTTCATGTTATAGAATGCTGTGACAGGTTTGTTTATTTGTTTATTTATTTGGATCCCCATTAGCTGTCTCCAAATGGACAGGTGGAGGGAAAGTGCCAATAAAACTCTACTGAAGCATTATTACTGTTTTACTACATACAGTATACAGTACACATCTGGAGGGAAAGTGCCAATAAAACTCTACTGAAGCATTATTACTGTTTTACTACATACAGTATACACATCTGCAAATACTTCTGAACCAAGTGCTATTATAGATCCAGAGTTTATTTTATTTTTATCTATTTTACCATTTTATTTTGATTATTGTCTATTATCTTAAATAATAGACTATTTGATTTGTGCAGTCTGAGTGCTCTTATTTCCTTCTTTCTCTACTGAAATGTCTCCACTGTGAGAAAAATAAAGAAATATCTTATCTTATATTTTACAGATTCTTATTTTATAGTGATTAGATTCACTTAGCCGCCATTATTATTCTTTTGTCTGATTATCCTCATAAGCCCAACATCATTCTATAAATATTTACATAGTTATTATGTGCTGACAAAGACTATGTCCAATTTGTGACTTTGTGTTTCATGTGTATTTCTCCAGGAATACATGAGGATGGTCTTACTTTTGACATTTACCATGCCCTTCATCAGAATTGTAATTCTTTGAAATATTGTGATGTCACATTAATGCAGCCTAATGAGACAAGAAAGTGATTCCACTCATGCAAGCATATTTTGGCAATACAAATAAATGCATTATGGAAGATTCCACGCAAAGCTTGTTTCATTTCCAAAATTAACAAGAAGAAGAACACCTTAACTTTTCAGACAAAACCTTGATGTGCTTCCAGTAGCCTTCATCGGTTGCACACATATATGAATAAACACATTGTCATCTTGTCTATCCCACAATAAGAGGAGTCAGCAGGTGGGTGTTTGGACATATGGGCCCTGTCAGCCCTGGTCGGTCTTCGGTGTGGTCCTCCTGGCTGAGTTTGAAATGAACATGTCCTGACAGTGATATGAAGTCCCAGGGAGCAAGTTATTAACACACACAGCCAGACCCCGCCTCCTGTGGATCCTCGCACCAAACATGTATCCAAACAGTCAAATATATGCAGGAGAAGAAAGAGCCGGAGGATTAGTCTCAGGAAATGGATGATTACCCACAGGTGGAGGGTGCTATGGGTCTGTATATTATAATGCATGTCTAAGCAGGTTCAAAGTGACAGAATCTGCTGTTGTGCTGTGTCTGAACAGTATGGGTCCAGATTGTGGGCTGAGTAACATTAACAACCCTATTTCAAAACCATAAAGTAAACATAGGCAGTGTACTATTTACGGATTTGAAATCGAATTGATGTGTTGATGGTTTTGTTTTTATGACTTTATATCAAATTACCCCCTTGGCATCAGGAGATCTCAGCCATAGCCATGACATCTTAAACCTATAGCTTATCCATTTAAAACGTTTCTGTACTAACTGAATAACTGCTGTGTAAGGATAAGATAAAAGAAAAATATTCAGTGTTATGCAAATGTTACAACTGTCTTATATCTACACACTTATTTTGTGTTACTTCTTTCTTGTTTCAAATGTTGTCATTGCCTTCAAGTTACCCGTTCCCATTGAAGAGATCAATATAAACCTCCCATCTCTGTGTGGAGTGAGAGACAAATGCCCAAAAAACTACTATTGTAAAGCGCTTTGTGACTCTGGTCTCTGAAAGCCGCTTCCTAAATAAAGATGGCTTACTTACTTATTTGATGGAGACACTAAATTCCCAAATATTATAGAGTGCACTTTGAATTGATTTGCTTAATTAGGATGTAATTTGTATTCTGTGCTAATTCGTTTGTGTCTGTGTGTGTTTACTGCAGAGGACATCTTCATTCTTCATGGGAAGGACAAGAAGAACCCTCTCATCTACGGTCTCTTCACCACTTCCAGGTCAGATATTTTAGCATTATTGTGGTGAAGTCACAATGCAAAGATATTTTCTATAAATGCCTGAATGTATTCACTATTCCCAAATCAATTAGTCTAGTTTATTTGTGTAAGAGGACAGTGACAGTGTACAATAATAAATAACCTCAAAGAGAAAGATGCATTGTTATATCAAGAGCTAATTAAATCTTGAAATGATTGTTGCTATAAATCCGCAGAGGAAGATCCAGATGTTTGTGCTGGATGTTTTATAATTGTCATCTTTTATCTATATTCACAGCTCAATTACTTGTTTAGCTCAAAAGTACATACTGTATAAAGCCTTGAAACCCACAATTAGTGTTCCTGCTAGTGTCAGACTCCATTTACAAGAGTTTTGGCTGTTAAGTTAAGAAAACAACTATAGACTTTGGCACAAAATGAAGCAGGGAGTTGCCTTGGTGCTGCTTTTTGACAGACTTCCCAGGCTCAGGGCTGGTCCAAACACTAACAGGTTTCTCCACAGAATCTAAACTGGAGTTATATTGAGCGCGCTGACTCACTCCTGCCTGCTCTCATCTATCTGTATGACTTCTGCACACGCTGTTGTGTCTCACCTCTACATGTTTAAATCATTTACAGTTCTGCTGAAAGGACAGAAGCAGAGAGCAGCAACTTCAGCGTTATTGAAATTCTTGGTTTTCGTTTTCAAATAAACACGGTATTTCAAAGGAAACTGGGGAAACAAAGACAAGGGTTACGTGTCATAAAAATTCTCACATGATTAACGGTGCAATCGTTTTCTCCAAATACAAATTTTAAAATATTGTAAGGAAAAAAATCACAAAATAGCAATTCAGTGTGCAGAAAGATTTGTTATGTTTTTTTGAACTGTCTTTATTATCCTTGTGTTTGGGAGCTTTCTGGCAGCTGTGGTTTTTGTCCATAAAGAAATCACTATTTTTTAGAGCCTTATAATGATTTGAAATGGGTTTATCGACTTTGCAAATAAAATGGAATACATGGATTGTTTTTCTTTTATTTATCTTTTATGATTAAAATTGGTATCGTAAATGTACAACTTCTACATTATTCCCAAGTGACAGTGACGGTCTCAGGCCAACCGACCTTGAGATCTAAACTGTAAGAATAATAATGTTTTATTAGAGATTAAGATTAAGAGATTCTTTTTCATCACAAATTACCAAACAATAGAAATGAGGAGCACACAAGATAAGTATAGCACTCAATTAGAAATAAAATAAAAATCTATATTTATCTTAATAAGGAAACTAACTATAGAATACTGTATACTCTAGTGCGGATATGGATACAAGTACATCTGTAGATATTTCACTCTGTTCTCGCTGTGCAGGAATGACAAGTATCTAGGACCTGTTGCACCTTTGCCTTTTAAAGCTGATTCCTTCTTTTCAAAGTGACTGAAATCCTGCGCTGTTATGACTCCGGTTGTGACTGACACTACTCCAGCAGTGTTGTTTACCATTTTCAAACCAAGCAGGAACTATATGAAGCTGTTATGATCTCGGAGTCTATATATGAGGTCTATAATATCCTGCTTATTAAAACTGCTCTAAACAACAGTTCGAAGCCACCGAGATTTATGTAATACAGGTTTAAGTCAGAGGGAAAATAAATACAGTCAAATCCACAGAGAAAATCAAAGTTCCACAGTGTTTGCTCATGTGGATTTAATTTATTATTTACACACAGTTTAGAGCGAGTTAAATGTGTTTAAGTAACTCAAATTGCGATGTGTGGAGAATTTGACAGATTGTGAAATTGTGCATTTTCGCTTAAGGTAAAAACATCTGAGAATCGCAAACTTAATATGTGGTGGAGTGGTTTCTTTGATGTGACCACTCCTCCGCTGATGTTGCGTAAAGAGGCAAATTAAAAGCAAAATTGCAGGACTGAATGAAGAAGCATGTAGACTCCTTTCTTCAGCTTCAATTCTAAACATAGAAATCCATCTATCCATTATCTTCTGCTTTATCGACTGCTGTGTCGCTGCAGCAGCAGTCTAAGCAGAGGCGCCCAGACCCTCCCATCCTCACACTTTCTGCAGCTCATCCAGGGGGGAACCTGAGGCGTTCCCAGACCAGCTGAGAAACATTGTCCATCCAATGTGTCCTCCTGAGTTTTCCTTGGGGCCTCCTCAACTGGCTCCTCTGGGAAATTATGATCCATTTGTGTCATAGATTCTCACAGTAGCAGGCAGAAGCATCCTCTTTAAAGAAATTAAGCAGTTGAATTGGGATATAGTACAATTTTCTCACCAGATGAGACTGAGACAAAGCCACAATCCTTGGCTTCGGAGTTCAGTGCTTTACCCATTAAGCCACTGGAGCTTGTTTTAATAGTTGTTGAGACCAGAGAAAAACATAGCTGCACAAAGTAGTTAGAGGCATCATTAGTTCATACGTTTGTTTAGATTCAGCTTTTAGACAGAAACAGGAAGGAGAGATAACCACCTTTACCTCAGCTCTCAGCCTCTTATTTGAGGATACATAGTTTTTGAATAAGATGAAGACAGTTTGTTTTGGTCTGTAGGGGATAAACAACAAATTATTACTTAAAACAAAAGGTTTATTGCCTCATATGTCATATTTTTAGCGGATTCATCTATGCCAGAAAACCTCCAGCAATGTCTTTTTTTTCCTTTTGTGATATGGAATATATACTAGTAATATTATAGAGCTGAATTATTTAGAAAGGTAAATGATTTTCTATTATTTGAAAGTGATTGAGATAGAGTTCTTCGGTTCCCTGGACACACTAAGAGTGAATTATGCACTGCTAAAATATTAATAGAACAGACAGGTGTCGATTAAAGACTTCACGCATTACGAATCAAGTCCCAGTCTCAGCACATAACAAGTCATAACATCAAAAATATATACACAGACAAGCAATGAATATAGATGTGGACTCTTTATTCCCATTAAAAGATTGTCAGTCTACTTTCTGCCGCTGTCCAAAATAAATCTTTATTGTACAAAAGGCAATGCTTTGGTGAAGTGGATAAAAAGTTGACTCTATAAAGTATTGGCTCTACAGAGGTTTTTTTCAGTTTTAATTATGTCGGCTTTCATCAAATTTCCTGTCTATAGCTAGTACCAGGATTGCTTGATGGTTTTGTTTCTGTTTTATTTTGTAAGACAGGATATTTGTAACCAGGGTTATAAGGTCAGATATCTTCATTTTGTACTCAAATGTAAGTGTTGGCTACAGTATTTTTACATTCTGTGATGCTTTTTTATGGGATGTTTTTTGGACAAACAAGAAATGTAGTAAAGGACAAACAATAGGTTGCGGTTATGTGACATTGCAGCGGGGGGCGGCTGGAAACTAATACTCCTCGTCTGGGTCTAGAGATAATTTCTCATTCCGGGGCCAATCCACATGAAACAAAAACTGTCACAAAGTTCCAGATTTTTTCTGACATTCTTTGATGATATTGGCCAGTGGAAAGGACTGGTATATGAATCTAATCTAATGGTTGACCTGGAACTTTTCTTTTTCAACATTTCTATCAAAAATGTGAGTAAACTAACGTAGTTACTTAAAAAACAGACAGAAAAAAAGTAATTGAAAATGTCAACAGTTCAACTTTATTTCGGTGCCTGTTTTATTGAGTGGTAGAGCGTGACACAAACTAAAACCTTTTGTGTTTAGAGGGTCTGCAGAGAAAACCCACAATGACTCACTGTCCTTAACTTTAACACGTTTAATATAAAACATGTTCCTGTGACACTTGACAAAGAGCTGAGCAGAAAGCGGAGGGCGTTCACTGAGGGTCTGTGGAAAAAGTCTGCGACATATCACTACTTTGGAGAAAAAACTCTTCACTGTCTTCAAAAAATCCAAAGTGTAATTTGTATATGCACATCTGGAAAAAAGCAAAGGAGTTTTAGGTAAAGTTAAGTGAGCCTTTTTGCTCTTTAGAATACATATCCATTAATAAGTAGTTGCAGTATAAAAAACATTACAAACGTACTTACTTTAGGTTAATCTATGTCCCCCAGGTGAGCAGGAAGAGGTGAGGCTCAAACTGTTACCTCCAAGATCCAGTCTTGGAGGCTGATGAACATAATGTAGAAATTGTTGTTTAAAACCTGAATACCTACGAACATTTAATTTCTAATAATATGTCATGGAAAGATTTGGAGTGCGTTGTTAGTTACTGTGTTGTGTCTCCTCAGTGACATCCTGAACGGGTCGGCGGTCTGTGCATACCGCATGGAGGATGTGGTTCGAGTTTTTAAAGGGAACTTCCTCCATAAAGAAGGACCTCAGTACAAGTGGACAGAGTACACTGGACACATACCATACCCACGACCGGGGACTGTGAGTACATTAGTGCTGTTGTAGTCCCACTTCATAAATTAGCATTCTCTTCAGTGTGGTGCAGTGGCATTTGTGGTAGAAGTCATTATGGGTGACTATATATTATGTAATATATAATTGTTGCAAATTGCTGTTTGTTTATTTAAGGACAGTGCCTGTTAATAATATTCTGCAATTAAATATCCAATAACATAGCAAAAATGCCAGTTTCCGTAGTTGTCCTACTGGTAACACAGAAAACATTATAAACACAATACATATAGGGCTAGTAAGACTTGGTTTCCATTCATCCTCAGTTTACAGTTTAAAGTAGTAGTAGTAGTAGTAGTAGTAGTAAGTAGTGGTAATAACAACAGTAGTGATAGAAGTAGCAAACTGCAGAATGGGTTCAACATAATAGTAGTTGTTTAATGTTTATTCTAACAGTTTTATGGCCTATTCATTCATGTATTCCTCTCTCTTGGCTCAGTGTCCGAGCAGCACGTATGGGAGCTACAGTTCCACTCGAGAGTTTCCAGATGACGTGATCTTCTTCAGCCGCACACACCCTCTTCTCCAGGTCGGACCTCTCTCTCGTCGACCTCAAACACCTACTGCACGTCTAAACCAATCATCCAGCATAACATGTGTTCCATTCCCAGGAAAATGTGATTCCCGTGGGAGAGCGCCCCCTGCTGTTCAGAGTAGGAGTCCATTATAAGTTCAGTAAGCTGGTGGTGGACAGAGTGGAGGCGGTGGATGGGACCTACGATGTGCTTTTCATCGGGACAGGTGGGTGAAGAAGATATTAGGGCGGCGAGATTAAATGTCAATAAAAGTTGTGATTCTAGTCATTGTCACATTGCAAAACACAACAAGCCTAAAATTGATGGAATTGATAATAATGTATATCAATTTCAATATATTTGGACTGAAATCGGTGAGTACAGCTCTTATCTTTGGCTATATTTTATGCACTGCAGCATTTTTTGGTATTTTCTGTAAAACAAGACATTTTATGATTATTCTATTGTCAAACTAAGACATTTAACGTATTCTCAAATCAAAAACAAAAGCAATTCATTTTTAATACTGAATAAATAATTTTACATCATTTTTTTCTGAAATGTCGGATTCTCGTTTTAGCTGTTTGTTCATGTTTTGTGTTTTTAAATGTAACACTGAACTTATTTTATATATGCATTAAAAATTATGATTATCCAAAAAATTGCATTTGAGGCAATGTTTTCCTTTATGATGTTTTTCTTTCTTATTAGACTCTGGTTTAGTGCTGAAGTCCATCCACTTCCCCAAAGAGCACGGCCCGGGTCAGGAGGTCACTCTCGAGCAGATGCAGGTTTTCCCGGTAACTCAATTTTTATTTTTTTTTATCAAAATTTTAGGGATATTATTTCCCTAAAAAAAGCCTCTTTGTACCTGAGCAATGTATGTATGTATGAAATGTTTAGAAAGCAGTGTTTTGAGGTAAAGTAAAACATTTGCATTTCGTTCAATAATGTTAGAAAGTTAGAAAAGCTGAACATTTAGAGACATTATTGTGATCAACAACGCTGCTCCAAACGTAAGACAAAGGCCCAGATTCTATATCCGCAGGTCTACGGTAATGACTTAAGTATGCAGCTTTACATTGTGCATCTGTGGACACTTACAGACAGAGGAGCAGATGCGGTCGCTGCAATCAGCCTCAGCTCTTCTGCTTTGTGTTTGAGAACCACTGACATGATCCTTTCTTAAATTATTCTGGTTTGGAAATGAGCCTGAGGACGTTACCCACCCACTATTGTTTCTCCTCTGCAGTCCTATAGTCTTCACTTATTTTATCAGTTAATATTTTGATACATGGCACTGTGGTAGAGCCATCTATTGTATCCCTGTATGTACTGTATAGATCTGTGTCTTTTTAAATTCTACTCATGATATTATTATTGCTGTGTATTGTGTGGCCTGTGTGACGGGGATTGGTATTAAATAACCATTTGCTTCATCCAACCCTTTTTCGAACCAAGTACTTTTTATTTGTCTGCAATATTGATATTGGGTAACTCAGGAACTCGTAGTGTTTATTGTATGTGAACTATATGATGCCTGTATTCACCGTTATTGTCTGCAGCTGAAAGTGTTCACTTGGAATAGGGGGTAAGCACTAATAAGCTTTCTTGCTTCAGCCTACTCCTTTTGAGCTACTTTATAACAGTGTAATCTTGTAATAATGAAAAATATTTTTGATAAATGCTCAAGTAAGTAAGTAAGTAAGTTTTTATTTATATACCGCCTTTTCACTGCAGATCTGAGTCTCAAAGCGGTTTACAATTGTTAATTTTGGGCATTTGTCTCTCACTCCACACAGAGATGGGAGCGGGGTTGCCAGTACAGGAAGCGCATGCCAGAACTATTGGACATATTTTTAGTGGTAGGGGAAACCGGAGTACCAGGAGGAAACCTACGCAGACACGGGGAGAACATGCAAACTCCACTCAGAAAGGCCCTGGTCCGACCGGGATTCGAACCCAGGACCTTCTTGCTGAGAGGCGAGAGTGCTATCCACTCAGCCAGTGGATAGCACTCTAGTGTCATCAAATAGATGACAATCAATTGATCAATCAATATGTGTTGTGCAGGTTAGAAATAAATAATCTAAATAAATGAAAAAATACCAATAAATATAGTCTAAAAATATCCAAAGACAGTAATTCTTTCAGCACTAATACATACACTGATTTTTTGATTATTGGATTGTTACTCTACATTTTGCAAGAAACTGAAACTAGTTGTTTTCGGGGGGGGTTTTCATTGTGGTATTTTTATAGGGACAAGACAAGTATGTATAATGCCACACACTTCAACATTTTAGCCTGGGTTAATTCTGTACTGTATTAATATTAGCGAAAAATAAAAAAAAATATTAATATTTTTCCTCTTTCTCTTTGCAGCACAAGTCTCCAGTGACAGCCATGACACTCTCCAAGAAGAAGGTACACACACACACACACACACACACACACCCACACACACACACACACACACACGTCCCGCACTGTACTCGGATCTACAGCAGCGCGTACACAAAAGCAAACACAAAGAGACATACTTATCATCCGTCATCACACAGCTCCGTCTCCAAGGACCGTTTCCAGTACCTGTTGCCATGGTGACGCAGTATCCTTTTGCGCTGCACCAACTCAAGAGCGAGGGCCAAGTCTGATACAACAGGAGTGATGCTCAGGGTTAAACTGCATATGAACATTTATATTATTTTCTAATTGTCTCTTTTTCGGTTTTGCCTGTTTTCAAGTCACATAAGTAGTAGTTTCACACTGCAAAAGCTGCAGTTTGTGAAGAAACGGTGTCATCCAATCAACTTCAGCTCCCCCAAAACAAACAGGCTGTACTTCTTGCAATCGTATTTGTACCGCAACATTCTATATATGTCACTAATGTAACTATTGTGCATCACAGTGTGGTCACAGTGTGAAAACAGGTCTGTGTTGATCATGTGTGTCCTGTCTGCAGCAGTGGTTGTATGTTGGCTCCAGAGAAGGTGTCTCACAGCTGTCCCTGTACCACTGCGAGATGTACGGTCAGGCCTGCGCTGAGTGCTGCTTGGCTCGGGACCCCTACTGCACCTGGGACGGTCACGCCTGCAGCCCCTACATGCCCACTGTCAGGAGGTAACAGCTGGTCCTCCTCTCACTCCACCGACCCTGCTCTCTGATTCTATAACATGAGTAGCAAAAAACATACTTTACATGAAAGTAGCTCTTGTGGTCATTATCCACCAGATATCTGATCCGCCCCAAACAAGTTTTCAATCTTTCATTTATTACTTCATAATCTCTGCGGGAAAAAAGCATGATTCCTTTGTTTTTGGGCAGCTCCATTTACCCGCGTGTGAACATGATGTCATTCGTGCTAGTGAAACGTAAACCTAATTCAAACATAATTTCTCACAGTAATGAATGAGCTCAGAATATAATATTGCTTCTGGATGGGAGTTGAAACATCTCCATGCTAAAAGAGCATGGATCACTCTCGTATGAATGAGGGATTACAGACATTTGTATTTAAGAATTATCATGTATTATACATTTTTCTCTGAAGCAGTGAATCACTTTCTGTATGGGGTTATGACCGAAGTAGAACAGTTGCTCTATCAAAATCAAAGACATACATTGTAGTTTTTTTTAAGTTACAACAATTTTTTATTTTATTTTACAGAATGTTTATAATGCAGTTCTGTTAGAGTTAGAGGACAACAACATACATTTTAAACTGCAAAAATACCTTGAAAGCAGATATTAAGTATTATACAACTATTCAACTAAAGACCTTTTCAAAATATCTTTCTCTTAATCGCATCCTTTTATCCTTTTCATCCTTTTCATCTTTCCAAATGGATTGCGTTCTCGAGGCACCTGAATTTATCTCCAAAGCATCTGACATTTGCAGTCTAAAGTAAAGGGAACATATTGGCTCCTCTGCAACGTTACATTTTAAGCACATAAAAGATGCTCAACTGACCTTTGGAGAGTTTTCACCATATAACAAAGTGTTTCCCACATCAAAACATAGACATTTAGATACTTTTAGTTATCACACACCCTTCTTCCAGCTCATCTGGGGGAATCTCAAAGCGTTCCCAATGCCAACGTGTCCAGGTTCCTCCCCGGATTATAATTTTAAGCATTCATATGTTTAGAATCATCTCTAATATAGTTTTGGTATCACTTCAATCAATATATGTTCAGTGCTAATTTGTCCTAACTTCTTTTCTTTGTTCGCACATCATGTATATGTTTAAGTGCAATGGCAAAGTAAAGTTCAAGCCCATGTTTAAAGCTGGGATACCTAACATTTTTGCTGAATAGATAACCTAAGATGATGTTCGTCTCAACAGAAAGAGGATGTAAAAACTAGTGATTAGGAACCAAACTGTCTTGAGAGCAAAGAACTACAGTAGTTATTATTACATAGTTTAAATCTTTTGTGGTGTGAAAATATGGTACCCCAGGTTTAAGGGTTAGGGTTTACTAAAAGAATGAATGAATGAATTAAATTATTCCAAAAATGTATTAAATTATTGCAGGAGAAACGCTCGTCATTTGGGAGAGGAGGAGGACCCACTCACCCAGTGCGTCAGACAAGGAGGTAACTATTCCATTTAACAAAAGTTTTGAAGACTTGATGATTACATAATTATTGCTAAACGAACACCTTCCTTTGGTCAGCGGGTCTGCAGGTGGAGGCGGAGCAGAGGGTCATGATGGTGGCTGAGGGGAACAGCACGTACCTGGAGTGTCTGCCACGGTCCAGACAGGCTTCAGTCACATGGTACAAACAGGCCGGCGAGAACAGCCCCGAGCTCAACCAGGTGAAATTTATGTTCAATATGCACATCGATACATTACACCTTTTGGGGGTTGTAAATAATGACCAACGTTGTATGATGGAGAATCTGACAAGTTAATTCTCCTGTTATTTTAAAAACATGCTCCAAGTAAGGCTCGAACTCACAATCTCAGCATGACTCAGCAGGACTCTTATAAGTATGGAGCACTGACCGATTGCACCACTAATAAGCATTAAAATATGTCAATGAGATACCTATTTTATTTTCTTTGTTTTTTAAAGCATTTGAGACATTTTCAATTGGTTTTAGTGGTTTCAGAGTCACAGCCATGTGCTCAATAAATACATGTGATAAGTGTATGTCTCAAGTCTCAGTGTTTATTCTCTGCTTCGTGTAAGACTCAGCATTTTATAAAGTATGGTTGCACCTGCATGCTTTATTAATGCCTTGTTTGTATGAAAAATGAATAATGTCCACTTGGACAGGTAGCATGACAGAGAATCTGAAAATTCTGTACTTTCATAGTCTGCTCCAGGTGAGGCTTAAACTCACAACCTCAGCATCACTCTGCAAAAAAACAACAGCCTGTTTTATGACTACAATTAAACACTGGTGTCCATGTATTAGAAAAGTCCACTGCTGAACGTCAAAGAGTATGCACACTTGTGCTTATATAGCTGCTTTAGTATTACGCCAGTGCAATTTACCTCATTTCAAAGTGCAGCATTGTGGTATTTTGTTTTGTCAAGAACCGTTTATATTGTTTTTTTCTATTTCTTTTAAAAGTCTGGTTGAGGTGAGGCTTGAAAACTTTTAATAATAACATGCATGAAATATAAATGGTAAAACAAAAAAAATCTTTTGATAAGACAATTCCTTGTTTTTGTTGAATAACATAAAAAAATATCCCAAACCATGGATCTCTGTTTTCCACTTGCATATTCCATTAAAATCGACCAAAATCACCAACACTATACAACACTCTGTCTCCTCACTACACAACATTGTGAAGAAATAATGATGCTTCATTTATAGTGTAGTGAGTTAGTGCCTAACCACTACAGTCTAGCTATGCTCTCCACTGAAAGCTGTCAAACCAAGGCGGCGCTTCAAAACCATAGATTGTAACGCTCTGAATCCAGGAAAGCCAGGAAAGTCATTGAGCCAATGAAACCTTTCTACACACCGATACATTTGATACACAAAGCGAAGCAGTGCCTGCAGAGTCTGACTTCACATGCATGTTGGAGATAACGTAGCCTGGTCGTACCACACCATACTACAAATTACATATCGCACTAAGGTTTGGAGGCGCTCCATTGAGCTCAGTTTACAGATAGGAGGGGTTAACTCCTTTTGCAGATTGAAACGATTGGATCTATGTAATGCGCCTGAGTGAGTCGTTAGCATTTAGCCTAGCCATCTCCTAGCCCGTGGGGAGTAGCGCCACAATTTTTTCTAGCGACTACATTTGCTAAACATTCCTATTGCTCCGGCTTCAATTTCTTGATAGAACCAGACCGGATTACTTTACGATCATTGCCAAACCACAATCCTTCCGTTGGACGCAAACTCTTGACGTCACCCACAACAAACTACAACACCCGCCTTCCGCACTCGCTGATTGGTCAGTTGAAATTCAAGCGATTGTAATCGCTAACCCAGGGACTAGACCCAGACGTTACATGCAGTGAAATGATGATTGAGCGCAGTGTACGGATAGCTAAGGCCAGGCTAGAGATAATGTGGAGAATGATGTGTTTTAATGTCTTTAACAGAATATAAAGAGGCATTCTATTGAAGAATACCTGCTCCAAGAGAGGCTTGAGCTCACAACCTCAGCATCACTCTGCAGGTCACTGTCTTATAAGTACCGCGCGCTGACCGATTGCGCCACTGGAGCCCTGTCAATTATGAAAAAAGTGTTGAATTTTGCGTTTAGAAACAAATGTTGAAGCCAAGAGTTAAGTAATATTTTGGAGATAAAGGTGGTGGTAATGTCAGAGTAGTTTGAATGACTTCACCTGTAAATGTTTCTGACTGACTTTAAGATTTTCATGCTCCAGGTGAGGCTCGAACTCACAACCTCGGCATCACTCTGCAGGTCACTGTCTTATAAGTACCGCGCGCTAACCGATTGCGCCACTGGAGCTGTTAGGTTATAATTTAAGTATTGAATTCAGTGTTTGCAAGCTAACGTTCATCCCAGGAAAAATATGAGGAAAGTAATTAAAACATCCAAGACATTTTGGAGATAAAGGCTGAGCTATTTCAGTCACCCATACTGTGAAGTTCTTTTCTTTTTGACCAAATGCAAAGTAAGGCAGATAGTTAAACCTGAGCAACACAGAAAGACTGTCTCTCTGTGGTCATGACCCATTGGTGCACAGTGCATCTGAAATTCTTAATTACTTGAAGAAGTTCCTGAACTGGGTCTAACTCTAAACTCAGTCTGATTGCAGAATTATATATTGTAGGCTGAGGACATGTCAGTGTGTTTTGAATGACTTCACCTGTGTTTGATTCTGAGTGTAAACAACAGATATATGCATTAAAACTCCTCATGCTCCAGGTGAGGCTCGAACTCACAACCTCGGCATCACTCTGCAGGTCACTGTCTTATAAGTACCGTGCGCTGACCGATTGCACCACTGGAGCATGTAAAAAAAAGGAGAGATATTATGAAGATTTCGGCAATCACCACCTGCCAAACTGGAGGTGCAGTGCTTTTCTGCGTGGCGTTTCCATGTTCTCCCCTATCTGTTCCAGTTTTCCCTGCTGCTATAAACATGTGCAATAGTTTTGATATTTCATTTAATTAAAATAGGGATGTGAAAGTTTATGATCAAAGTCTTTACTGACTACCCGTCATAATAATAATGCATCTGTACGACAACTTTTCAAAAACTGATTTAAAAGTGCGGCACAGTTTTTGATGGCCTATTTCTGTGACATATACGACAAAACATACAGAACAATAAGGTAACTGTGTAAAACAAAACAAAATATTAAAATAACAACAGCAGAAAGGCACAAGTCCAAAAATGGCTCCACACAAAAGCACATTCTGTATGAAGAAAGAAGGTCAGACATAACAGCTGTGTACATGTCCCATGAGCCTCTTCTCCTTCGCTCCAGGTGTCGTCTGGTGACCAGATGCTGGTCTTCGATCGTGGAGTCCTGATCCGGCGTGCTGAGCTGTCCCATGGGGGGGTCTACCACTGCCAGGTGGAGGAGCACGGATACCACTGGACGGCCGTCACGGTTCGTCTTGCCGTCTGGAGTCCCTCGGCCAATCGCATCCGAGCTTCCCTGTCCTCTTCGGCCTATCAGAGCACGGGGCCCTGGTACGATGACGTCATGGCGCTGGTCCACCCGGGTAACATCGCGCAGCACTGCAAGGCGCTCGGGTTCCGGCCCCCCAAAGGACACCGGAGGCACAGCGCGGGCTTCCTTCGGGAGAAGAGCCAGTACAGGGGAGGCCAGAGAGCGGCCGGCAGGAAGAGCCGGAGTAAGCCACAGCTCCGAGCCCCCAGGAGCACCTGAACGCACCACATGAAACACAGGGTCCTGAAGGCAACACAGGAGACTGACGAACGTGTACAGACATATAAATGAAGTATGAACACACAGGCTCAGATCATAGGCTCGTGCTTCTATTGTCTGATGTTCTTTTTCATTTAAAGAACATGGTTTTGGGCTTGGGAAAATATGTCGGCAGTAAATTGGGACTTCATTCCAATGTTTTAATATACAACGATCCCAGCAAGATGAACATATTGGAATATTGGGCATATCATGCTTATTTTGGTATTTACTGATGAGTCATTTGCAAGATTTCCCTTTTAAAGATGAATATTGCATAACCTCTCTAAAATGTTCCACACTATAGTATTAAACTGATATACAGTACCCCTATACTTGTATTGCAGGGTATTTTAGAGTACTATATTATAAATACAGTCTAGTTTATAATAAAAAACAGACAAATATTTAGGTTATTTGTGAAATTAACAAAATTTTAATTATCTTAAAGGCAAAAGTGTAAATGTCAGGTTTTTTCTTTGTTGATTCACAAGTCTTCCTCAATATTTGCTCGTAGAAGCTACGTGCTATTTTTTTCTTTTCTGTTAATTTAGAGTACATTTCACACTTACATAGTTGTCTCCATGACCTTTCTGAATTCAAAGTTATAAATAACAACAACTCAAACATCTCCTTATTTGCCCACCTTTCCGACCAAGTTAGAACTACCATGTTTTATTGTGAAAAAGCCACCTAATCATGTTTATTTATTAAAACCAGCTGTAAATATTTCCTTCTCTCTCCCTATTTTCTGAGCCTGTTTCATTCACTCACACTCATCTGTACAAAAACCCAGCGTTAGCATGTTTCTGTCTCATTACAAAGACAAACCGATCCACAGCAGCAGCCGGTGACATTTTAGAAACACTTTTCTTTTGGACCAAACGAAGGAGAAGTCTCGCATGTATCTGCTACTTTCACGCAAGGACATTTCAAACCACCTTTTTGTAATAATCATTTCTGCTCCGAGCTTGTTATTTTGGTCTATTAAGCATCACCGAACATACAGCTGTCTCCAGATGTTTGCAGATGGATTTTCATGACTCGGGGCGGACATCGAAAACATGATTTAATCCATCACGGACAACTCCGGTGCCAAAGTTTTTTTCTTCTCTCAAGGACGAGCTGGAAGTGCACAGAGCTGCGGAGTGGACTAATGAGAAAATGTGGTTTCTGAGATCGAGTGGGCATGTGGGTTTTAGAGCATGTCCTTGAACAAGAGAACACTTCATTGTAAGCGTTTCTAAGGTCGAGCGGTGGCTTGATGAGTACGAGCAAGGACAGTGGATCAAAGCGGTTTCCCAAAATTCTAACATTTATAACAAATATTTGGAGTGTTATTAGTTTCACCTGGGTGCAACACATTTCAGTAAGTTTCATGGTGAGATTCCAAAACTACTGATAAACTTGTGTCAAAATGTTTTATTAAAAGGATTAAAGCAAGGGTATCTAACTTTCCAACCTTGAACAATGGACTAAAATCTAACTAGTCCTGCCTCTTTTTTGGCCTCTATCACATCTTTAGATCAGCTATTATCAGACATAAACGTGAATAAAAGAGGACCACCCTGACCCCAAAGAGTCAAATTGTGACTAAAAGGGCTCTTTTGCCAAAAATAACATACTTTCTAACAGAATAAAGATAGCATGTTGTGGTCTGACAGCATTGTATTATTACAAGATTCTTTCTGTTGGAACAATGTACAGTATTATTTATTAAAACAAGGTTAGGTACCCCAGCTTTAAAGGAGGCATATTATGTAAATGCTGCTGTTAAGAGCTTTTCTTTTAACAATGTTATAATTGTTTTCTATTATCACTTCCCACTCAAACTTGTAATTAGATTCATGCATGTTGGAGTAAATTAAGTCGTCTTGCTTGCCCTGCAAACGCCATGGCTCGGATAGTTCCCTGCTTTCACCAGTACACACCCAGTGTAACGTTACAGTGCGGAGTCAATACTTATTAAAGTAATTGAGTTGTTTCAGATCAATATTTGAAATATTCATCAATATACAAAATATATGTGCAAATATATATTTTGGTCATACGTGACAAGTATTTGCAAATTGCAAATTTTCTGTTCAGTATGTCAAAAACAATTCAAAGATGATTCAAGGGTGTCTTGTCTAAGAGACATTTACAATACAACTTTCATATAAAACATAGTTATAAAAACATACAATACATATTAGCAGAACTATAATGAACCTCCACCAGTCATTGGCTGCCTTTCCAGGTCTTTCAGAAGGATGCCAAAATGTTCTAATGGTACAAGACTTAGGACTTTAATTGTTTTCTGTAAGAATTTCCAGAGCACCATACTGAAAAGACATTTTTTTACCCCCTTTCTGCCCTGATGCTGGGGATGGTCAAAGTGTAGACATTCTGAGATCTCAAAGTGTGAGGTCCAGGCTTAAGATAAGTGCTCAGGTATGAAGACCTGCGAGTCCTTTATAAATGAACCTACAGTGTGTTACAAAGCGCAGGGAGGCATGAAAGCCTGAGTTAAGTGACTCGGTAAAGTGCTTTGGCTGGGGCCGGCATATGTACAAGGTTTCCAGTCCTGCACTAGAAGGAAGTTGCAAAAACAAGTTTGTGTGTTACAAAAATATAACTTCACCAGCATTGTTAACCAGCCCCCATAAAAAATGTCTTAATGGATCACCGCAAGTGTAATTTGTCCACTTTTCAAATCATTGTCTCTAAGTTCAGGGTGAATCTCTCTCCCACAAGACGTAGCTGCTCTCACTCTACAGAAATATATCCAGAATGTTTAAAGTACCGTTGCTCATCTGCTTACGCTGTTCTCGGCCATGAAACTTTTGTAAATACTTTCCATCCAAACATGTAAACAATATAATGTGCTTTGACTTCATCATGAAAATAACAAAACCAAATTGTGATAAAGTGGTGCCAAACCAACACCGCTGCAGTCTTCCTGATACATTAGGTCTGCAGACAGAGGTCGAAGATGGTGTACTAGGGGCCTGAATAAGAACTAAACAAAACCTACTCAAGACTGCAGTCCTACACCATCTGAACCAACATGAACCAAAGCAAGACCTTATAGAAAAAGCACGAGAAATAGGTCTAAACAAGAGTTGAATAAGCTAAAATATAAAGATGCATCAGCTGGCAGCTATCTCCAGTTTTTTACTATGTAAGTTTTTGGCCTTAAATTGAATTGGAGGCCAATCTTTTTTAAGGCTGACAAGCTCAATAGAGAATTTTCACAATTATTAATCATTTGAAATTGATGTAACTGTAAAGTGTGACCAAACTGCTCTGATATCCACCTTGTTGTAAAGCATTGCTCTGGATGAGTTTGTAATGAAATTAGATTATATCAGGGGTTTCCAAAGTGGCGTCCGTGGGACAGGATTCACCACAGATGCAAAACATATCTTCAAACAAGAAAATAAAAATTCTTTGGTATAAAAGTAAAAGCCCCGATCAAAATGGTGCCTTCTGCCTGCTTATAGGCTTGGATTTTGGCTCAGACTAAAATAGTTTGGGCACCCCTGGATAATATCATATTGGGAAAATAATCAAAACAGACTATATACTGTACATATACATCACTCAGAGCCAGAACTTAACCTGACCCGACATATTGTTTGTAAATTGAACCTGTATTTTTCCAAACAGCTCTGTATGGTCCTGCATTTTCATCTTTATGGACTGCTTTGTCTGTTGAAACTCTTTCACCCGCTGTCTGTAATGGTTTAAAAGGCACTTGTAAAATTCCATCCCACATGATCCCTGTGTGGACTGCTTAATGTTGTCTTTGGAATGAACTGTAATGGTTTGTAAATACTGCATGCTTCTCAAACAGTGGACTGCGGACCAACACAAGGCCCACTTTAAAGCGATACAAATCTGAAAAACGCCTGGACTGGACTTTAAGTTATGAATCAGGCCTGAAAACCAATGTCTAATGTTGAACGGTGTAAATATTCCTTCTTGATGTTATAATAATAAACCACGTCCAACCTAATTTACTGTGTCTGTTTGTTGTGCTTTTATCTGGACATTTAGGAACAACTATAAGTTATCCATATCTTTTTATAATACATTTTTTGATCATTGGGCCACAGTTAATGTGAAAAAAGTGCTTTACATTTAAATGTCCTCAGGTCTTTCGAGTGTACTTCACCCTATGTTTATTTTTTGCGATACATATTGTTTATATTGTCCTTGATTTGATTTAGTGAAAGCCCCCTGATAAGCAGCATCTCATGTTTTAGAGGGTCCCACAAACATAAAACAAACACAATACAATACAGACAATCAACATTTACACATTTAACACAATACACACACGACAAGTTTTGATCCCTCAGATCCCACTTTGTTTCAGCAATCACTGCATGCCCATTTCTGTATTTGTCAGAAATATAAACACTTCTGAGTCCAAGTCATACACTGTTGTTAAAAATGTTGAAAATTCAAATGAAAATCTGCTGCTGGTGAGGCTTTCTGCTGTATTAAAATTGTTTAATCGTTATCGTGAGCTTTGTATTGCGTATCAGATCAAATCGTGAGGTACCCTTAGGTTCCCACCCCTAGTGTGGTATAATGCTCGATTCCTTCTTAACTTTGCATGTCTGAAGAAAAGCACTGGACTTTCAGACACTTCACAAACATGTCTGCACTTCTCAACACAAAACCACACTGGCTCTTTACAAACCCCACCACAAACTTCTCGAAATTCAAAGTGGACGAGCATTTAGACATGTGCTCCATTAAACAAGATTCAATTGGTCAGTTTTTCCTTCAGACGCCGTTCAAGCCATGACCTGACCCAGCATTTTTAGAAGACATAACATTTGGCCTGGAAAGAGAATTGCTTTTTTAGAGAGTTGTAAGTTTTCTCAAACCGAATCTAAACATATTTCTTTTTGCGGAGTGGAAGGAGAGAGGTTGAAACTATTCTACAGTAACACAAACAGGTCATACAGACACATTATTAGTTGGAATTTTTTCAGTCCAGGTCTGTACTGTAGGTCTTCTATATTTCAGAGATTATATGAATGATTACACAACAACTTCAGAAGCCATGTGTTTTTCTATTTCCAAATTATAATGACAATAGAAACTACTCAAATGCATCTGATTAGAAGTTTACATCCCCCCGTTCTCATCTTAGTGGGAGTCTTTTGTGCTTGCTGTGGATGAGGTTCTTTATCCTCTCTGATGGTAAAGCTGCACATGGGAAAAAGCCTCCACTTCCTGCACATTCAAAGGCCTGCCTTAGATTCACTGCAGGTTTGAGATCTCCCCAGAGAGGCTAAACTGTGTTCTAATTTGAAAATCGAAAACTATAGACAATAATGACCACGACGTCCTGGGTGTACGAACCTCACACTGCAAACACTACATTAGTCAGACCACAGCAGTGAGCAACCATTAGGGAGTTACATAGGACATACTTTGAACATTTGTGGATGAGCTGGATTCCAGTCTAAATGCCGGCACAGATGCATCACTGTGGTGAGGTGACCATCTAAGACTTAGGGAACTACTGGTCCAAATTTTCATCAGCAGACCGAGCCACTGCTGTTCTACTCAGGCTTAATTTGAATCTAAAGAAAGAGTACACCCATTTTGCATCCATCCATCCATCCATACATACATATTTACATGGAGCCAAAGCCATTTCCTAGTTTGTGACTTCCTGTTACTCACATGGCAATAAAAGGATTCTGATTCTGAGTCTGATTCTGAGTCTGAGTAGGAAGGAAAGAAAGTACAGTTGGATTTGAACCCAGCTAGAAGTTGAGCAGGCTTGTTTGGCTGAAAGTAGGGGAATGAGTGATAACAAAGATCATAAATGTGGAATTTACATAATGTCTCAAATATAATACATATTAGAAGAGTATATACATATACGACAACCATTTTGAAGTTGTCTTTACAAAATAGAAAAGCGGAATTAGGCCAACATTATCATTCAGCAAAAATCCTATGCGTATTTTATGGAAAAACACAGATCACTTTGAAGCTTTTGATGTTTCCGTTTTTCATTGTGTTACAGTGGTTTTCTCTTTTAACCACTAGAGACAGAACTGCTCCCAAAAAGGCGTGTTTTTTAATGTCTGTAAAATTGAGATGGGATTAAAGTCTTATTTGTGACTTTACTGAAATAAATATATAGGCCATGATACGTTTGTTGAATACATTATAGTGCATGCTTGATCTGTGGTTTTCCTAGATCCACGGATTTCACTCAGCTAGTCCTATGATCTGTGGCCACATCTGAGATTACAAACTCCAAAGACTTAGTCGTTCAGGGTTAATCTGATGAAAAAATCATATGTCAAACCAAATAACGGGTCAATTGTCTTGCTTATAAAGAATATACAAAAAAATAAGAAGATTGTGGATTAAACAATTAACAAAATAACAATGTATGCTGTGAAATAAAACATTCCATAATAAAATACTACTAAGACTTGAGTAAATAGACTGTAAATACCAAACGTCACGTTCACATTGTAGACCTATAGTTTTTGTGGTACAACAGAGACATCTACTGGCCAATGATGGTTGGTCCAAGTAACGCCAAAATGGATATAAATGCCCAAACTTCCACGTGAAAAAATGACCAATTATCAAATATTATGCTTTTTTCTTGATATAATACATTACGTGATTTTTCATAACGAAAGTTCACCACGCACGTGCACAGCAGACAACTGCGTGCAGGCGGAACCTTCTGTAGGGAAATATTATCTCAACGAACACGATTGGTGCTGAACATACCGAAACTGCTTTGGTGAGTGTTGACAGCTTTTAAACAGACATGTTTGCGTTTATTCAAGAGCCATGCTGTCAAACCCGCCAATATTTAATGTTAATAGTTTCTATCTTGTGTCCAAATAATAAAATACAGAGATTATTATTAATAAAGTGATATAAATTGCCAGACAGCTTGCGTTAGCCACGTTAGCACAAAAGCTAATGACAGCAAAACACCTCATTCAATGCACCTAACGCTGATCGAATATTATCGAATATTTGATATAGTAGTATTCTTTACAGTTAGAAATTGGTTAAAAGTTTTATGATTTTTCATATTTTATAACTTTACATTATTAAATGCCAATTGTGAGCTCCTGTCTTGCTCAAAGCCAGCGTCTGCACAGAAGATTACGTCATATATTAGATTTGGAAACTATTGTTCGACATGGGCAACACGGGCAGCATCTTTTTCTCCTGATACGATTGAAGATAAGAGTTGACATTCAATGCTCGTCATAGCTGGCTCTCTCGAAAGAAGGTTTTCAATAAAATAATGGGATACACAGGCTGGATCAAATTAGTTAAAGAAGTGTGATTGAGGTCAAGAAAAATGCCAGGGATAGATCTCATATTATTGCTCAATCCTAGAAGCTCTTTCTATTGGCTTAGTGAGAGAACAGCACTTTCTACAACATCACAAGTTGAATTTCAGATAGTTAAATAAGATGTATGTGTGTAAGTTAATTGATTCATCCCATTGATCTCTTGGTATACGATTTGTCGTCTCTTTGACCTTTCATAGACTTAAACATGAGTTTTTACGATTCAAATAATTGAATGACTGCAGAATGTAATTAAAAAGTAATTAATAAAACAACCTAATGTATACCAAGTCATGTATTATTATTATTATTATTATTATAGTAAGTGTTTATTTTTTCCCTTTTTTTTACATTGTTAAATGTGCACAAACTTCCTGTTTCCACTGTGTGTGGCGACCGAGGCACCTATCTATAATTTAACATAATTATTGTGGCTGCATTCCAGTTTAAAATGAAATCTTCTCTTTCTCAGCTGCAGGAGGAGGGATGAGTCTCTCCCCTGTGATTGGCACAGAGGTGCCAGAAACGTCCAATGGGGTCCTAGCTTCGACAGAGAATGGACCGCAGTCCACAGTGAAGAGTCCTGCGTTTAACAAACCCACGTGTACAGAGGCAAGAGGAACGACGGAGGATATAAGAACGAATGATATCGGAAATCTTGAGTCAAACATTGAACAGACTGTGTGTAATAATGAACAATTAGGATTGAAAAGTGAAGAGGACCTACAAACTGTAGACATAACCCAAAGAACAGCTGCTTTAACTGTAAACTTAAAAAGTGGAAATGAGACGACAGCACAGCGAGGAGGTTACAGCGACGCAGAAGAGGAGGGAGAGAAGGAGAAACAGGATGAAGAGGAAGACGAGAAGAAGTGGAGAAACCAGCACATGACAGGACGGACGCAGGGACAGGTATGACCACTGAACACGAAGATCACATGCTTTAAGTCTGGGACTATTTCTTTGTGAGCAGAAAAGAATAGATGTATTATTAAATCACTTCCTTTTCTGTGGATGCCTGGGATCCAGTCTGATATTCCTACTGTTCCATATTCTGCCCAGCAATAACATGGAATCTACAGTATGAGCTATATCAGACTTTATCCCAGGCTAGCACTGTGGTGCTAGCCTGGGATGCTATCCTGCAATGCTATTCTGACTAACATCAATCACACATTCATTCAAATATGGGAACTATGGGTGAATCTGTAGTGTCTTTTATTATGACATTAGTAATCATTATGCTACTAAGCTCTGTTTCTTTGTAGTTACGGCCGTCACATCAGTTCTCGTCCTCGGCCCCAGGTCCGAGCTCAGCTCCCTGCCCCTCAGAGGACCCTTCCTGCCCCCCTCATATCATGGCCGAGGTGTGGGTGAGGAACGTGCGGGGCATGCAGGATAGTAAGAGCCTGGACGAGATCAGCCAGGCCTGTGGAGGTAACGCTCTCCTTTGTGTTGAGGCTGCATTTATTGGATTTAAAAAATATTGCACGACACAGCAGCCTCAGGACAAGAAGGTTGCATCAGCACATTTTTAGTCCAGTTAGAAATTCTGTCATTCTTTTTTCACAAGTCCATGAGCAACTCACTATGGTTTGCTCAAGTATTTTAACCTTTTTAAATTGATATGTCTCAAGCGGTGGTTTCATGTTTTTAATTTTAATTTGAATTAAAATAGCCCTATTACCTCTTTATTTTGGCTCAGCAAAACATGGGGCCATTGGTTTTAATTGTTTAGTAAGTTATTCTGTCAATGGCATCTTAGGCGATAAAAATTTGTATTTGTCGACTTTTTATTTGAATGAAATTGTTTTTATTTATATCTTTTCAAACCTTCACAACACATTTTCATATCTTTAAAGGAGCAATATGTAATATTTGCATGTCAAGTCATCATTAAATGACCCAAATATTTCAAAAGGCGTTATTAAATCATACTCTTTTCGAATTTATCTTTAACTGATAAGAGTAGTTCAGCCGAGATATTTGATTATCAAAATTAGTTTTACGACCCGTAAAAGTTGTTATTGTTTTGATTTTGATGTCCTACCCTCCGCCGTTTCGCCAATCAGGAAGTGTCATGTAAGTTCGTGATCGGGTTGCCAGAACTCCGTGCGGCTCACTAATCTCAGAGGTAAAATAACATGTGGCGCAGAACTAAAAAAGGTCTTGTTATGACTCTCAAATCATTAATGACAAAACAAAGACTAAAACGAGGATTTATATCGGGATGCCTTTGAACAATTGAGACAGCTGATAAAAGTTCACGTGTGATGCAGAATTTTCTAGATTGAATGCGTTCTTCACAGTAGGGATGTAAAAAACTATGAATTTTCATGACCGACCACCGAGCCTCATTAACCGGTTGAAACCGGTTAACCGCGTAGTTTAAAATAGTCCACGTTCTTTGAAATAACAGCCATTTCGAGCCGCGTACTTTTCATAAGTGCAGCTGAGCGTTCTACTGGATCAGAGCCGAGACAGCGGCGCCAAAACCCGCAACAGCTCCGGCACCTTTGCGCACAGAGAACTGCTGTTTTAATCTTCCCATTCTGCTGCGGGTTAATACCAGAACTTTCTAGCAGCAAACGACGGCTCGTTCACATGGTCAGAGCAGCGAGTGACGAGCCGCGTCTCACAGGTCTTCACAAAAGTTTAAATACAAGTGATGTGTGTGGAGCTGATCCCGAGGACCATAAACACAAACATGTTCCATGTGGTTTGACTGGAGCCGCGTATTTGTGCGAATCCTTTGGGCTCCGTGACACAGAGGAGCGCGACAGACCGGTATGTGTGTGTGTATGTGTGTGTGTGTATGTATATGTGTGTGTGTGTAAATGTAAGCTCCAATGTAGTTCTGACCCGCGCCAGTGTGCAACTTTGACGGTAACAGAGGGGAGAGATGATGCATGTGGATGTTACGTATGGAGAGGGGGAAAGTGTGTGTGTGTGTGTGTGTGTGTGTGCGCGCGCGCGCGCGTGCGTGTGCATATGTGGCTCGTGCGGCATGAGAGTCGGCCCAGAGTTTACTGTTACATTGGCGCACACAGCTAGATACAGACCCGCTCGTCACACCGTGCAAATAGGGCTTAAAATAGCGTTATTAAGAGACCTCCCCTCTCCCCTTTTTCTCTTTTTTAACCGACAGCTTTGACCGGTTAACGCTGTGACGGTCAACCACCGGTTAAACGGTCGCCGATTTACATCCCTACTTCAGTGTCTCACTCTTGTGAATCGGTGGCCTAGTGGTCTAAATTGTGCGCTTTCGATGCAGGAACCCGGGTTCGATCCCGGGCTATGTCTTTTTGTATTTATTGCATGTTATCACATTCTATGACAGATTGCTCTAAAAACGGTAAAAGATGAAGGTCAAGACGTTTTTTTGCAGATTATAGCTTAATTGTAAAAATAATCATTTAAGACCACATGTACCCCAATTAAAATAATGTCAGTCTCTTTTTGATGTGGAACTTTTACATGTTTGTCTAAAAAATAGGGAATAAATTAAATCAAAAGGTGATATCCTCTTGAGCAAACCCTGATGTTGATACGCTGAAGAAATACGTTCCAACATCCATTCTTCCCACTCCTATTTTGGACATCAATTGCTTATTTATTTTGCATAAACTATGTATAATTACATTGATTTTATTTTGTTTTGTTTTTTATCTCAAATGTCCAAATAATAATAATAAAAAAACATTAATCAAAACATTCATTCAGCATTAGCACGGCTGTCATGGCATGTGAATGGAGACGGACAAACAACTGATAAAATAATTCCCTGTGTTTGCTGCTGGATTTGGTGTGAATCTGGCAACCTGAGTCAGGGAGAGTGGGAGAGGACTACAAAATATTGACTGTGACTGCAGTACCACTTTTGGCCCAATTTTTACATATTGCTCCTTTAAAGATTTGCATGCACATGGTTTCAAATCATTTTTATGGGAAAACGGCAACAGTGTGAAGTTAAGGGTCAAATTAGATTTAGTATTTCCTGTTTATTGTCTGTTATATTATTTGGTTTAGCATTGCTTTTGTGAGTAAAATTTAGCTCGAATACGTAGAATTTCTTTGTCCGACTACAGCCCTACTCCAATGAGGAATAGATACATTTTACAGTCCACTTTTTAATGGATTTCTTAATTGTTCAGTTTGCCTTTTGTGGAAACTTTGAGGTTAGCGGATACTTCCCCCATCACGACTACAATATGACACCATTTTGACTAAGGAGTTAATATTCCCTTGACGAGCCAATGGTCACGGTGTTCTACTTGTTCAGGGGCGCGAGGAGGAGGCAGAGCAGGGCAGTCTGAAGGCAGGAGAGCCACCATCTCCTCTGCCCTGGAGCTCGAGGGAACAGTCAGTCATGAGGGAGAAATAACCACCTTCATCACAAAGAACCTAGAACAGAAGATCAAGATGAGCTCTAAGCCCAGCCTGGACTGCAGCGACTGTGAGTACTGCAGAGCTGTGGGACAGGGCTTTGACATCACTAGAAGATCGGTTTTTACTAGATTTTAGTCAAAAGTTGCGAAATGTACCACACAAGGAGTTAATTCGTTTTTTTTTTCGAAATGTCACGGCTGAATGCGTTCTAAAATCTTGCTGTGGTCTTTCATTTCAATTATTGGTATTTTTTGCCCAGATAAAGCTGCTTGCGTCCCGGATTGCTTGGTTTAGTCCCAGTTTAGAAATTGGCAGAAAACATTGCAGAAAACATGGCAGATAACATGGCATATAAATAACATGGCAGATAACATGGCAGATAACATGGCTGATAACATGGCAGATAACATGGCTGATAACATGGCATATAAATAACATGGCAGATAACATGGCAGATAACATGGCTGATAACATGGCAGATAACATGGCATATAAATAACATGGCAGATAACATGGCAGATAACACGGCTGATAACATGGCAGATAACATGGCAGATAACACGGCAGATAACATGGCTGTGTACCAGCACACACACTTGTATGAACACTGCAGTGAAGTTGTACAAATCTAATGGTGTCGAGTCACCCTCATCTTTTATTAATGCACACACCGGCTCCAACATCAGAGATAACAGAGAATCAATGTTCTATATTTAGAGAATGAAATGGCTGCTCAGTGGTTGTGGACTTGTGGTTGGTTTGTCACAAGAAAAGTATTATGTCTTATGCGTTTAAGTAATCAACCAATAGAAGGATTCAACTTGAGTATGAGTGCAACCAAGTTTTATTATACTAGAAGGAATTCAATATTACTTGGATCTATGAATGAGACATGAGCTCTGATGCTGTGATATTAAAGCTGGGGTACACATGCGTTTATTTTTGGCCTCCATCTGCTTTTCTTGACATAAAAGTAAAATTACAGGACCCCCTTCACTCGGCTCTGAGCCCAAAGTGTCAAATGTTGACTCACAGGGCATATATTCAAAGGTAAAATGCCAATAAGATAAGGAAACATGTTGTGGTCTACCTTCACAAGCCTGTATAAAAAGTATTCAAAAGTTAGGTACCCCAGCTTTACAAAGACACAATTTCAACACTTTTTGTCAGTATTAACAGAGCTCTTTTAGTTCACTGTGTTTGTGATAAAGCAGCTTAGACTATTTAAACTATTCTGTTCATATTATTAGTGGCTCATGACAGTGTCCAGCCTGGTATAGTCTACAGCAGGGGTCTCCAACCTTTTTTAATCAGAGAGCTACTTTTGTACAAACAAACAGGCAGAGAGCTACTCATTTTTGCAGTCATAATGAAAATGGATCTAATAATTACGACTAAACTTGGAGAACACATATAAAATACACCATATTACTGTATAACCCTATATTTATACTTATAATAGATATGTAATGGGTCAAAAAGTATTCGTTTAAGTGTATTTGTTGAAGTCTAATTTCTTTGGCGAGCTACCTGTAAGGGGCTGGCGAGCTACTGGTGGCTCCCGAGCTACAGGTTGGAGACCCCTGGTCTACAGTCTTTCAGATTCTGCCTGTCATGTTCTACTATTCAGAATGACTTTGTGTTTTCCTCATCTCTGTGCAGTTGCGGAGCAGTGTAGAGCAGCACAAGCACCTTTTTATGTTTAAAAACGTTTTTAAGTACGACAAAATCCTCCAAATATCCACTGTATGCAATAATGTAGATTTGCCCATGATTCTTATGCTAAAAACATCTCACAGCGGCTCATCAGAAAGAATCTGATTACAAATGAAGCTTTGATTACAATGTTGCTGCCCAAGTAGTTATGGAAATGAACAGACTAATATCTGTTAATTATCATAACTACTTGAAATGTGTGAAACTTTTACACATTAAGCGTACTTGTCACACATTTTTCTGCGTTGTGTCGAGGCTCTGGTGACTCACTGGGGAAGCATTTCAGAAGTTCATGAAATGATGTTTAAACCATTTTGAATATGTATCATACTTTTCCTAAAATGTACATCAAACATGCTGTTAAGTAAGTAATTGATAGAATACTGGATGACTTAGATAATTGTTAGCAAAAGAACTGACTTCTTTAAACATAAAATAACAGCTCAAGTAGCAGATGTAAAAGCAGATGGTGTTGTCGGAAGAAAAACGAAGAAACATTTTTTTAAGGCTAATGACCCAAACTTAATCGTTACTTTTAAGTGGAGTGGAGTTTTAGTTTTTGTGACTTTACATTTTTGGCAGTAATGAATTCCTCTTTTCTTCTTTCTGTTTATTTTTAGTGGTAATTTTAACATGAAATATAGGAACAAGCAACAAACAATAATTCTACAGTTTATCGTACCACAAGGCGTTACATTAGTTATGATAAAGAGCGACATCTTTCTGAAACTGCTCAGAAAACATGAATTATGTGTTTGTTGAAATACTTGCCACTTGCTACCTACTTTTCACAGTATGTAGCAAGAAAATCTATTTTTCAAAGACATTTTACTATTGACTGATCTTATTTTTGATATTTTTGACAAAACCACATGAAGGTGAGTGTAGCAGGCCATTTACTCGAGAGAAACCAGAAACTATTAAAGTATTTGCAGCTGCTCGACGAGCCTAGAATAAAAAAGCAGAAAACGTGTTTCTCTGTATACAGTCATGCTTGGTAGTTTACTTTACACCCCTTGGCAGAGTTCTTTTGCCATATTTTGGAGATTAAAAATTGATGGAAAAAGTGATTCATTGGTTGAATAAAGCCATTAATGTGTGGCTTATGACAACAGAAACTCCCCAAATGAGCCTGATTAGAAAGTCTCCATTCCCCAGCTCTCAATCGCGTGTATCGCCCTCTAACATCTATAACAGGTTGGAGTCTTTTGGGGTAGTTTTAGATGAGGTTCTTGATCCTCTCTGATGGTAGAGCTGACCATTCTTCTTGGCAAAAAGTCACCAGTTCATGTAAAAGTGCATCAACTGTACATTTGACCTCTCCACATCAGCTCAATGTTGTCATCATTTGAAACTGAAGTGAGAACTCATTTACAGTATATGACTTCACACAGGGCTACAATGAGTGGTTGTGTGGATTACCGAATTATGGTCAAAACGATGGCTTTTCTTCCACGGTCGTAGAAAGATGCACAAGATAGACATGAATAGATACTTTTATTGATCCCCATAGGAGAAATTCAGGTGTCCAGCAGCAGAAACACATCCATACAATCACGAATGCATAAATTATAAACTTGTAATTTATGTACTTTGAAGCGGCAGGAGCTCTGGCGTGTACTATCTTCTCTGTCTGGTGCACACTGGGGTAGTCTTGCACAGTTTTTCCGCAAATCGCAAATACATTCTTGAAATCTTGATTCTTGAAGCACAATTCCCACGCTCCTCCCACTAAACCTCCCTCTCTCCCATTACAGCGGACTGCTCAGGCCCCATCTCCCGCAGCAGTCGCCCCGGAGGCCGCAGACCCGTGGACATCCCTCCCATCGACCCCTCGGTGCTGCTGGACCTGCACCGTCACACTCAGGAGGTGGCCCAGAGCGTGGAGGCCATGATGAAGAGCCTCAACGGCACAATTCAAAACGTCAGAGCAACCTTCTCTCTGTGGAAAAGCAGTGAGTGAATCTCTCTGTGGTAATATTTTTGTTTTTCTGTCCAGATGACGGCGCTGAGCGTGGGCTACATCCAGACGTATCGGGACTCCGTGGACAGTCTGGGAGAGTCTGTGGACATGAGCATCAAGGTACTCACCGTAGTGCTAATACAACTCAAAGTTAATATAAAGTATAGTGAAGGAGGATGTACCAGTGTTCAAAATTCCATTTAACCCTAACCCTAAAACTAATAGCTTCGCAGCTGAAAAAACCCCAAACAAATTCTTGGAAAATTAGAAAATGTTGAAAATGGACTGTAAGCCATAATCAACATATTTAATGAGTCTATATATCATATATTGGTTTTATATTTAAGTTGGATTACAGAAATGAAGGAACTTTTTCTATTCTAATTTCCTAAGTTCCACCCATACATGCAGCTCCAAACACTCTCTAAAGCGGAATTTCCTTATATCTGTACTCTGAACATAGTAAAACGCTTTGGGTGACCTTGGTTTATAAGATAAGCTATATAAATAAACCTTATTTAACTTCCTTCACAGGGCATGTACACGCTGATGGCCCGCTGTGAGGAGCTGGACCGGTCGATGCAGCCTATTCACGGCTTGGCATCTCAGATCCGCGACATCAAGCGCACCCTCGACGCTCTGGAGGCCATCTGTAAGTAACTCCGCCCGCCTCAGACGCACCGGCCTCAAGCACCACTCACCTGAGACGAAAATCCAACAGCAACAAGGCTCCTGTCCCAAAGCGGCTCTTTTTACCACATGGGAGTTTAAGTCCGACACCTTCTCCTTGATGACAGCCTTTTTGTGTCCAGAAATGGAAGAATCTGCCATCCATTGCTTGGGAAACTATTGCACTACTATGCTCTTCTTGGTTTAGAAGAGACTTGTCTGAACTCTCGAGACTTTTGCACAGAATATATTTTTTAACCTTATGCAACTCGATTTCTCTGAGTGAAGTCCGCATCATGTTTGTCTTTTGTGTTAACTTATTCTTGGAATGTTTCTGTGTGGCAGCAAAATTGAATAAGATGTTTTTGTTTACGAGTAATGACACTGGAGCTCACTGCTGAAAAGCCAAACTTCAAAGAACAATGAAATGAAAATAATGATCATGTTTTATGTCTAATGTCTGTTGTTCCCCGTACTGTAAATAACAATTTGGATAAGTTTTCATCTGTCTTTTTAAACATTGTTTTTGGTCATGAATTTTATTAATGTCGGTTGATCACTAATTTTAACACAAAATGATTTGAAAGTTGTCCTTTAAGTCCAGCCTCTGCATGTCCGTGCCGTTTAGTTGTCACTGCCAGCAAGCATAAACACCAGAAACCTATCCAGACTGAGGGTTTGCATGTCCGCACTCCACTTCTGAGAATAACTTTGTAATTTAATTGTGAATACTATAAAGTCATGTATGGGTGATTCATTGTAGTACATTACTTGAATGAATTGTGTAAATAATTAAACCTGCAACTCTGATTTAAGTTGTCTCTGTATATTTTAATGAAGGAAAAATAAATTTGCAAATGTTCAACATTGTGATTTATTTTTGTCAAAATGTATCTTTGTCAAGTCCTGTTTGGACATTTGTGTGTCTGGTGTCACGTAAAACAACATAATCAGTGTCCCTAGATAAAGGAACCCCCCCCCATATGCAGGCTACATTCATGTATGTTTTTAATCTTATTTTTATTGAGTGATATTTGTAGATGAATCATTTGTATGTTAGATATTCTGTAAGTAATCATCTGTTACATTGAAAGTGTAAATTCTGCTCATTTCCAGTTTTTTAGCAGTGAGCATGATTCAAATATGCATCTAATTACAGTAGCATCTAACGACCCTTTTGGCATAAATACTGGTAGCTGGAGTTGTTCCTCTGAACATATGAAGGTTTTCCAAAATTCACCCTTTTTTAGCCAGAATATTCATTTACCACACTGACGTGTCTATTTCTCCTTCATATAATATTATTCTCATCTCTATAATTGCAGCTGTAAATTTTTCAAGCTGCAGAATTGTTTCTGTGAAGATCCACTGCTGTGACTTGTAATGGACCATTTACTTATTCGATCAATTGTTATTATGTGACTTACTACTTTAAAGAAACATAAGTTCTGGTTCATGGGTTTAGGTAATGTCCTTGGGCTTTATTTTAGTCTTTTTTGTTTTAGCTTGTTCATATTATTTACAAAGGGAATCTATGGGTTGATCATAGTAGTTCATTATTTGATCAGTGCCTTACATTTTATTAGTCTCCAGATCATATTGTTGGTTTTCAGTTCTTTGAAAATTAACATTGTTTGACATCCTGCAGTGTTTTGGTAGATTTGTATGTGTGGCACCTCTTAACATTCAAATAGATGTATTTGTATTTTGTTTATTTGGAACAGCAGCAGCATTAAATACACCAGAATGTTGGTTTTTGGTAGAAAATGTTCATCTGTTGTCCCGCTGTTAAACTCACAAACACAATTATTCAACCCTCACCTATTGCACATGTTTTTAGTGGTAATGGAAACGTAGACAGAAAACAGTCCATGATGCACGCATGAACAAATTCCACCTCCACATAGAATGTCTGGAGGTGGAATTAAACCCAGGACCTTCTTGCTGTGAAGCTCAAGTGCAAACCACTGCCCCACCATGCCACTAAGCCAAAAGCTCTTTTATTTTCCATAGATAGAACTTAACCTAGTTTTCCAAAAATATATTTAGTCCCTAGTTATATGTGTGTGCAGTTGTATAAGTAACAGACAGAGGGCGCTGTGTACCAACGTTCAAAGGAGAATTGTACCTTTTTGATGTCAGAGAAAAATCTCACACAAGAATAAAATAAGTATATCATTAGGCCAGTCCTGTTTCCTCAATTTAATCTGTAGAAAACTGAAGGAAAACACTTGAGCCTGATTACAAATGATCAGGCTTCTTGAAATTATTCTAAAATGTCAAGTTGTTGCAGTAATTTTGATCATTACAAATTCCCAGTATTTTATTGTTTCATATTTACAAATATAACAAAACTACCAAATCAGAAAAATGCACACATAAACCAACGTCATCAAACAGACAAAAAGGAATTGCTGGGGGAAAAAAAACATCAACAAGACCTGTCACTTACATTGTACTGCGGAAGAAGAGAAAATATCTGTTCGCATTTGGCAAGTTTGAGACAATGCGTTGTTCAAAGGCACTTCCGGGTTATCTGTGGGACTCAATACAGTGCAAGCCACTTTATTTTGTTGAAAAACATTTGTAATTTATTTCCACATGTAAAGTGCCAGCAGAAGCATCAACAGCATCATTATCCTGGATGGACATGTTTTCGCTCCATGGTCCACTGGTGTGTCCAGAGTAGATTTTGGACTGACACTTGCTCCAATCTCCCCGTTCTGAACCCTGTAGGCACCTGTAGTTGTGGACATCCCGTCTGACAACCTGGCCAGTCCATCCAGTCCCCTCCTCATGCTGTCCTCTCGTTTGCCCACAGAAGGAGCCCCGTCTTTGGGTGACTGCTGCTCTGATCCGTCCCTGTCTGCGGAGGAGAACCACTGGCACTGGAAGTCTCTCTTCCACAGTTCTGCAGGGTCCAGGTCAGGCCTGGGGTCTTGGTCCGGGCCAGCTTCGGGTTCTGAGACCAGGTCAGGATCAGGTGTCGGAGACGGCTCAGGCTGATCTGTGGCTTCATCTGTGGCTTCATCTGTGGCTTCATCCGACTAGAGACGAGAAGAAAAATTGGAATTCATTTTTACTTTTTTCACAATATTACTAAGTGCTATGGCTTTTTTCAAACCCACAGAATATACTTTTGGTTTATTTGTGCCTTAAAAACTTGTGGACAATTTCAGATCTTTGGACCTTGTCGTTCTCTGTGTGAACCTAAAATGTGAGAGAAGTGACTTTCTCCCAATATGCTCTTTGTAAATGGGATGCCACTGTAGCCACAAGGACTAGGGTAAGCAGGGTAACCCATAGATGCCATCAGCCCTTCCACCTCCAATCATTCAGACACCAAACTCGTACAAGGCGATGTGGGTAAAGCGTGTTGCCTAAATATACATTAATTTGGCAGTCTTCTTTGTCAGTCGCAGTATCAACCAGGTCCTGCCCTGCTAACCCTAACCCTGGATGTTATATGTAGATGGTGCCACCAAAGACTAAGGTTCAAAGATGTCTATTGGACATTAAGAATATATATTATAATATTTTTGTTTTCTTATAATAAGGTAATGTATTTCCACAGACTGTCATTTGCCCAACTGTTTTAACAAATGAAAAATCAAAGTTTCGTCATGACATATGAGTATGCTTATCCTAAATGGAGAATGCACCACAATGTGTAAAGTGTGTAAAGTGACATTGGCAATTTCCCAAATCACCTACACTACAAATTTGAATAAATGACAAAGGCTCTACATATGTCCGTCAAAATGAGTATGCAACATTTGAAGACAATATATAAAAAGCTGTCAATGAAAACCAAACATTCTATTTATGAACTCACTAATAATGAGTCAACATCATGTTGTCAAAGAAAATGCTATATGTTGACAAGATGCCTGCTTTCCCTTTTTTACTTTTCCAAAAGCGAGAAATAAGGCTCTAAAATCATTTGGAGTCAGACGAGTCACACACTCAGAATCCAGGTCATACCAACACTGCAACAAAACCAACTTCTTTTGAAATGCATTCAACCAATCAGAAAACACAGCAGTGTGCACGTCTTGATACATTGATGCAACAAGATTAATACAAAAATAGATTGTTGGAACTCAATTCTCATTTCACATTTCATATTTTTTGGCTTTTTACATTTAGTATATTAATTGCAGAGTCTGTGTTGGTCCACTGCTGCTTCTCTCTCCAACTTAAAAGTCAATAATGAATCAATGTGAAACGCTTTGAAAATGTTCTTCCACTTATCTGCTTCCAAATGCGGAATACATCAGCAGAAAACTTAAAGCCGACTCAAAGTTACATTTATATAGAAGTTCCAAACACAGGCGCTGTAACAATGTACGCCTGCTCTGCTCACGGTGATGTTGCCTCATAGTCCGTCTTTTTGTTTTAAGCGACGTGCCTCTTGCTTATGCAGCACTAGAACAGATCGGTCTGGTCTGAATTTCACCTTAAACGCCCAGAAACAGCAGGAGGCAAAGCGCTGGAGGCTTTAGATTTGAAAGGACTTGAGATTGAAGGAGGAAGAACAGCTTTAACCAAAGGCTCTGCAGATCTGGGGATAAGATAACGTTGCCATAGAGATGGAGAAAGAGATATAAGAGTGCTATTTTTGACTAGTTGGAGCAGCTTTCAGAATCTAAAATGTACTACTTCTGCCAAATAATGAAAGGTAGAGCTTGTAGGTAGGTCCCATGGCTGTTTCCAATGAAGGGTCAGCAATCAGCCTGAGCCTTTTCTTTATTCGCAAAAAACACAATAGTTTTGTTTGTCCCAAAAAAAAGACTCTTGTAAAAATTATTTGAACAAATCAGACTTAGTTGGGTTGTCTGTATATTATTAGAAAACATATTATATTTTTAATTTTAATAAAGAGCCCTGTGAGTCACTATTTGATGCTTTGCGCTGATTGGTTAAATGAGGTGGTGCTCTCTTTTTCATTTTTCTGTCAATAAATGCTGCTCTGATACATGTGTGAAAACTATAATGGAAAAAACTAAATATTTTGAGAGTTTAAGTGTGTACATTCAGTAGTTCCATGTTTTGCGGTTTGAGACACTTTCATAAATAATTCAATTAGTCCCATCAGAAAGAGTCTTGTCAAAGTCTGTAGACATTTATAGGATATAGTAAGATGTAACCCTAGCTATGAATAATATAACTTTAACTGCACTGTTCAAAAACTGGAGCCTAATACTTTCTTGTCTTCAAAATATTCTCTGCGTAAGAATGACATTAGGCGCATTCACACATTATTGGTGTTCTAGCTTGGTTCACTTCAAAAGCAAATATAATCGTCCTCGTGCAGTCATAGATCTGTTTTAAATGAAGTGCAGTAACTGAGGTGAGTGACTAGTGGACAGGATGCACTGGTTTGGTGCCTTCAGACCTCCATAAATGAAACACTTGGAACCATGTTAGAAGACACCCTCTATCTGTCACATACCTTTTCCTCTAAGAGCTGGGTGTTGGGAGGCAGGTGCAGGAAGGTGGGCTTGTCCTGGTCCAGCCTCACACAGCGGCCTCTGTTCTGACACAGAGAAGCTGAGCACAGTCTGGAAGCAGCCGTCACATTGGACACATATGGACCCAACACTGAAGCGGTGAAGCGAATCAGCTCCTCACACTCTCTCTGCAGGACACACAGGCACAGCTCAGGCCATTGTGATGCTGCTCTACCTCCAGACTCATGCACTGGACATTAAGAATACAAAAACACATATTGTACCTCAGTCTTTGACTCAGCCTTGTCCCAAATGACAATTCCAGCAGTTCCCAGAGCGGCGCTTTCTCCAATGGTTGTCACCAGGTCACTCTGAAAATAGTACAATGATAAACTGTGTTACACAACTACACATAATCCTGTTCATTTAGATTCTAATGATTTACCTCAGATAAGAATGTGTTAGTGGAGGCATAGACACTTTGCATCAGTGGGAACACAGGCAGGTCATCCGTACGTCCTCCTAGAGATGCCACTCTCAGGGCTTCTCGAATCTGATTGGACAGGAACAAAGTTGCTCCTCGAGTCCCACCCTAAAAACATAAATCACAGGTCAATATATGTATGTTTACATAAAGATAAAGATATAAAATATAATCAAGCTTAGGTTGAGTTGAAGAAATCCTTGGCATTACAAATTAATTTTAACTATTTATTTGATATCTCTAACAACGTCCTTCAGTTTAACACGGACAAAACTGAAACTGTTAATAACCTTCAACAAATTTCATAAATAATAATGGACTTTGAAATTAAACAGCTAAATAAAATCAATAACATCAACAGTTTTTACCATCTAAAAAAACATTGCCAGGTCCAAAATATAGTGCCTTAAGCAGACTTTAGTTCTTATCCATGCTTTTGTCCCCACTAGGTTTGACTACTGTAATGACCTGCTCACCGGTATGTTCAAAACGCTGCAGCTCAAGTCCTGACTAGAACCAGGAAGTATGATTACATTCTCAGGTCTCTGCACTGGCTTCCTGTGGCTCAGAGAATAGACTTTAAAACAGCTCTGCTTGTGTACAAGTCTCTCCATGGCCTCGCACCAAAGTACATCCCTGACACGTTAGTCCCATATGAACCAGCTCGGACTCTGAGGAGCACAGGGACAGGCCTCCTGCTGAGGCCCAGGGTCAAGACTAAAAACCAAAGGGAGGCACCAAATCAGAATCCTCCACTGGTTACATTGTTGTAAAAATGTATGTGACAAAAGCTCTCCACTTTTATCCTAATCCACTTTTTGCTAATAACCAGGGTTAAGGCAAAGGCAGAACGCCCTTGGCATTGAAATATAGTGTCTGTTAATCAAAGTAAACAAATGTTCTCAGTTTGGCAATTTTCTTTGAATTCTTTTTTAATTTTAGATTTTTTAAAGTTGTTTTTATCAACGGTTACCAACCGACCAAATAATCTAAACTTACAGCCCTAAAAAAATCTGCATTTCAACTAACTGTTCCTGCCGCACCTGTATCTTCTCCAGCGTGAGCAGAGGGTAAATGGCGTTGCTCCTCCTCCACAGCCACAGCAGCTGGTCGTTCAGACTCCTCTCCTCCTCGGGACACTCCCCTGTGTAGTTGGACAGTGCGGTCTGAGCTGGGGAGCCATTAGAACAGCTGGGGTACGGACACATCCCCCACAATGCTTTGGGCCGCGACCTCTGCACCTCTCTCAGGGTTTCTGTCATTACGGACTGAGCAGCGGCCTCAAAGTCCACCTGAGCAACAGCCACAGAGCAGGAGCTGGTTAGTGAACAGGTTGAAAGGAGAAAAGCATAGAGTCTCTCAAGATACCCATGATGCACTCTGGGGAGGCTCTCCTATGCAGTTGTTAAGTGTGACCTAATTTCAAAGATCCTGCAACTTAAAATATCTTGTTTCAAAATAGACAGGCGTTAGATGACAATAAAGGAACTATGTGGCTTGAATGAATAAAACTAACATTATGCTAACCACTAGATTTATTGAAAAATTAACTTAAAACAAAGGTGTTTTATCTTGGACCTGGAAGAGCAGCATTCTACTCCTCAATAATGAACTAATGAGCTGTTGTTTTCCAGTCTGTAGCTGGCACACTGATTAATTAATAATTCATAACTAGAAACCGTTGCAATGGCTGAAGCCATTGCGATTGACTGCGGAACAGATCTAATGTGGAATTTAGCTGAAAAATCCTTGAAATCCTTGAAACTGTTAAAATACTTTAAACATCTTTGAAACTCCTGAAGTATTTGAAGCTCCTGATATCCTTTAAACTGTTATCCTTTATATGTTGAAGTCCTTGAAACTCTTGAAATCTTGAAACTGCTGAAATCCTTGAAACTGTTGAATCCTTGAAACTGTTGAATCATTGAAACTGTAGAAATGTCTGAAAGAGCTGAAGTCCTATTAAAATGCATGGGCCTATTAAAATGCATTGCAGAATTCTCAATGCAGATTTTTGTCCGATTGCGGAAAAACCGGAAATCGCTGAAGTCCCAAAAGTAATAGCAATAATCTCCCAAACATGTGATTAAAGATTCTGTTTTTATACTGTTTTTTGGGACTCTCAAGATGCGTTATATAGATCGATTCACTGTGTTACAGTGGTAGTAAACTACGACTGTAAGCACAGCTGCCTGGTTTAGACTTCTCTACTGTGGCTCCTGGAATTCCATAAGTACTTATCAGGCTCTGCCCTGCTGACCTCCTAAGCTCATACAGCATCAGACTTTCACACACAGATATGGCCACAAAACAAGTGCCATTGATGATGAGTTTTAGCTGAAACTACATGTATTGAGTGAATATCATGCAGATTTGTGAAAACATTTTGAGAGACAAGACACAACGTCAAATCATCTTTGCAAAGACAAGCACTGGTGCAGTCCATCTGAAACGTTGAATCAGGATGAAATACACAAACACAATAAATTTAAATCAAAAATATCCCATAACATGAATTAATCAAATGTGTCCTTTTCACCTTTATCGCTTCATTAAAACCTTACCTTGGACCATCTCTCCAGCTCTTGATCCGGCCAGTCTGGGAAAAACCTTCGAAGCAGTTTCCTGGTGGAGTTCTGATACAGCCCCTGTTTTAGTCCACTCCGGCTCCACTGAGGAGCCCACTCCTGCCACCGCACCACCCCCAGGCCCAGGTATCTCGGTGCGGGCAGTGCTGTCTCTATGTCCCCCTGGGTTTTTTGGATGTGTAGGTCCAGTTTGGTGTGCTGAGGTAGCCCCCCGTTTACTGCAGTGTTCTTATCCACAAAATAAGGATAGTTCCCCAAAGTATCTTCATAAAAAACTGCTACTCGTCCTTCCGGCTCGATTCCGAAGGAACGAAAGTCGGGACGGTTGGAACAGGAAGAGTCTTTGATCCCCCAGAAGACTATGAAGGGTTGTCCAGACAGCAGAGGTGGGCGAGCAGGTCTGGGTGGTCCCGCATGCGATAAATTTATTACAGAGGCAAAGAGGAACACAAAAAAAAGAGATAACAAAGGCTGGCGGTGAAAATTGAATGTAAATGAGGTGTGTGGTCGGAAAGTTCTTGAATTTAGTCCTTGTTCTGCAACTTCTGGTCGGTGCAGTTCTTGTTCAAACGTTGGAATGATTTGTAACGATGGATTTAAAACAAGTGTATGGTGTACCTCTTGACTACAATCTTTTGCAAGTGTGTGTATTTTTCCATCTGGTTTACAGCTTTGTGGACTGGATAGTGTGCTGAGGTGGAATCTTAATGTATTGTCCTCGGTCGGTAACAGTCTTTGTCCTGGTTTTGCCTTTTGTTCTACACAATGTTCCCATTCAGGTTGACTGGTGTGATGTTGGAGCCCACATTGCCCATGGGTTCTGGGTGTCTCTCCATTTCTTACATCTAAGTGTGGTACTTTTGTTTCTCCTATTGATATTGTCTGTTGAATATTTTTGTTGGACTCCAGACATATTTGGGAGACGTGTTTTGGACAATGTGTTTTTAAAATGGATTGATTGACATTTGACTCAGTATATTCACATAATTCTCTGGATTCCAGTCCAAGAGTGTTTTCTGGCAGTCTTTCCTTCTTTGTTTCTTGTCTCTGAGGTAGCCATGATTTTGTCCCTGGATTTGGCCACAGATGTAATCCTGGTCCTGGTTGTGACCTGGCGCTGACTGAAGCCATTGGAGCAGCGTTTGGCTCCTCAGCCCTCACAGCCAATCATCTTCCTGCAAAACAAATGATTATTTTCCTTTCACAAAGGACTTGACAAATGAGATGGCTAAATATTTGGCAATGGGTTAGTGAAATGTTGAAAACTTTGTTGTACATAAATGGGATGATATTGTATAATATTTGCAGTTATAAGATGCAGCACTGCTACCAAAACACCTACAGTGTGTGTTTTATATAATAAATACTTGTATTTTTGGTGAAATAACCTCATCCCTGAGAGTCCAATTTATTGGTGCAAGTGCGCCAACATCAGATTGCTGGGTACATATTGACTTCACATAAAATAGAAAAAAGTTGCCATTGCTTCTCAGGGAAAATGGTTTCCCACAGTTTTGGTGAGTGTTTGGATATGGCAGCTGACAAAGACTTTTTCAAATGGAACCAAATGGCTGCAGAAGTGCACGCTGAGCTGTGTCAGTTCCACACACACAGCAAACCAGTGGAACTAGGGGGTGATCTCACTCAAATGTTTGTGTCCACGCCTCCATGCAGATAATGAGAACAGGGCATGTAAATGTTGCAGGGAGAATGGCAGGTTGAAAACGAATAACACTTTTAATGAGCAGATATGTGTCAACGCTAAACCACAGAATAGGAACAGAAAGATTCATGTTTTGGGAAAAATGCCCGCTGCGTATCATTTTATAGGAACAGACTGCCACTCCAGCTAAGAGTTATATTTATAGTTTCCTGTGGATCTCTCACTAGTTGAAGTTTGAATAACTTCAAGTTGAGTTCTGAGCATCTGTTCATAGTGACTCAGGAAAACCTCAATGGGATCCCTCTAGGTCTGTGAGAAAAGTATCAAGTGATCACTCAAAATTGAGCTTGTAAAAAAGTTTGTAAATGTTGTTTGTTCACTTGATCTGCAATACATGGTTTGGACTAATCTCGGTTTTGTCCTGATTTCGCTCTGATCTAAATTTTGACTGTGTGCCTTACATTTGCGACAAAATTCCTCCAGCTATTCGGGTTTCCCCATCAATCTGTGTTTCTGCATGTGAATATAAGATACTATTAATCCTGGCACATCAGAGGGCACAGTGAGGTGGACCAGATTGACATAAATATTGAAACATGCATTCTTACTGGGTCACCTCTCCTCAAATGTCACTTGTTACTTGGCCTGATGACACCACCTGCTTCTTTCCTTGGAGTTACAGTAAATAAGTTGCTATGGCACATCAGCAACGGGGAAAAGTTAAGCTTAAACATGTGCAGTCTTGGACTTTCTAAGATTTGGCATCAGACCAAGGCTGTCTTCGTCAACCAAGACTGAGACAAAGAATGACAAGACAGAGACAGCAGTGGAGAAAGAAAAAAAAAGGCAGAGCACATAAAGCTGAGACCAAAAGACAACTTATCTGACTGAATTTTCTGTGCCATTATGCAGATTGAGTTCCTTTGGAAGACAATAAACCTCTGGAGGTTCTCTGGCTGATTAAGTGCTTTTAAGAGTGCCCATAGAAGACGAATATAAGTGCACCGAATAGATTGAAATCACACAAATGAACCAAAATGAAACCTCATATATGTTTTTTGAGATTGTCATATGGTGTAAAGGACTGGAAAATAGGTTTTGCATATGCGACTATAACAAGCTCTACTGATCAACGCTATACATGCACATTGACCACCTAAGCAAATTTACAAGCTTGACAAGAGTCTGAATAAAAATAAGCTGTTTATTATACATGTATGTGCAAAACCGAACATCAGAGGGAAGAAGTGTCAGGAGAGATGGCATCCGTAGCATCATACAAACGGACCAAACAGCCAGGCAGAATAGCCATAACAATATACAGTGTGTTTGCTATTTGCTTGTTACAGCATTCTCACATCCTCATGCAGATCACACTCCTCCTGTGTCTGGGCACATTTGGTTTTGTCACAGTTTTCTTAGCGATTTGTCCCTCTCTGCCTCCCATAGCGTTTTCTCCCTTCGTTAATGGCCTTGTTACAGTCAAGCTTATGCCTGTGCTGTAGCAAGCGTTGCTGGACAGGTTGGGCCTATTGTGACAAGCGTGGGGAGAATTGTATGAGAATATAACGCAGCATGCCAGCACAAAACTCAGGCATTTAGAAAAAGACAAAAACAGGTGGAGAAGAGGAGCAAAAATGTATGAATAAAGAACACAGCTGTATGGGGAATAATTGGACAATTTGCCTACAGAAAATATCAGACATTCTGCATTGATAAACATATGGACAATATTAACAAGCAAGAAGTTATGTTGGAATGAATCCAACCAGGAATTGTGTAATTATCTTTTCCTTTGTCAATTGCAGCCAATCAGAGTCTGGAACTTTTGACACACAACTAATCTTAAATCATTTTGCCCTTTCTGTAAATACAAACAACCAAAATTCTCCAAAGCAGTCTAGCTACCAGCCACCTCAGACAGTTTTCTTCTTCACTAAACTGTTGCCCCAGGAGAGTAAATCTCCTTTCATTGTGTTTTTAATGTTCACCAACAGGGATCCAAATGGCCACTTTATTCTATTCATTCTTAGGGCGACAAATAGTTGGCAAAGTATAAATCCTCTGACACAAAGGCTGGTGATCGTCATCGGTGTTCAGACCCATTGGTTCACAGCTGGGCAGGTGTGATTCCAGTGACCTTTAGCAAGACACTTCATCCCTATGTCTGTGTATGGATGTGTATAAATCCCCAGGCACTGCACTGTGGCGACCACTGCTCCTGATAGAGTTTGTATACAGCATTGCAGCATGGGTCAAATGCAGAGGACAAATAAAGAATAACTTTACTTAAATGGATGATTGATTTTTGAAAGTGCCTTGAATTATGAAAATGCTTTACTAAACAAGCTATAACAAAAGCATATGTAAAATGTAAGCGAGTATTGCAAACTGGACGCATATGAAGGTGTAGCGAAGGTTTTGACAAAATCTCTCCGTGGTTACTATCCCAATAATTCACCACAAACCTGTTCCAATCAACTCAGCTGGCATATGACTCGTACAGCAACCTGCCTCCTTCACATCATGAGCTTCTACCACCACCAACTTATTGTCTTATCTCATCTTTGACCCCAGGTGGATTTCACTCTCATAATATCTTCAATTCCGTTTTGCACATGCTATATTGTCTGTACATGTTATATCTCTGTCAGGGTCTTAACGCCAAAGACAAATTCCACGTTACCATGTACCACATAGCAACAATAAATATAATTTCATATACTATACATCTGTATAACCGATATATCCATCCATCCATTTTCTTCCCCTTAATCCATTTCTGGGTCGGGAGGGTGGCAGTCAGAGCTGCACCCAGTACACAGAGCACCAGCCCCTCACTGATCCTCCTGCAGGTGGTGAGTCCACAGGAGCTGAGATCTTTCAGTGGGGGTTTCAGGCAAAGTGGGGTTAAGTGTCTTGCCCAAGGACACAACGACAGCAGTTATCAGTGGGAGTCGTGAAGTAGGTCTTATGGTGGGCTCGAACCCACGACCTTCAGGCCCAAAGGCCAATGCTCTACCAACTGAGCTACTGTCACCCTTTCTGTGTGCTGTAATAGTAATAGTAGAGTAGTAGAGAGGTGGTGGGAGTATAATCAGTCTAAAGTTTGGTCTGTCCTTACAGTCACCGGTCTGAGCCCACCTCCAGGATCATCCCCTGACTTTGCACGGACACATCTCACCATCCGGGGCATTATCCGGTGGAGTGGTCTCTTTCGCGACCGTATGACCTCTTTTTTTCCTTGAGGTACAGAATGGATCACTCTGCCTTTGTCACACAAGGAAGATAGAGTCAGTCTATTGACCATTATATACGTTCAACCTACTTACCCGTATGTCATACGTACATACATGAGCGCACGGGTGAGTGATACCTCGCCTCAGCAAGGTCTGGGTCGAATCCGTCGACCCTTCTGAGTGCAGTGTGCTAGGTCCTCGGTACTCCTCCACTAAATATGTCCAAGTTCTGCATGCGCTCCTGTCTCCCATCTGTGTGTGGGACATGCCAAATACAAAACGCTTGAGCTCAGATCAGTGAAAGCGGTAATAATGAAACTTACTTACTATTACTATGATCTTCTTGCACAAACGTGATGCAATTACATTTTGAAATGACTAAATCATGAATAAATCCATACATACATGAATAAACAAATACCCTAGAACTGTATATATATTATTAGAAACATGTTTATTGACGTTTTTCATGTTCTTTATTGCATCCTTACACATTACTGGATAGAATTTTGAATATGCCTCAAAATGCACAGAAATAAGCTTCTAGTGGGGGTATTCTATGGTTGCTTTGCCTACCATGGCCATTAAACAGCATAGCATTTATAGTATTGACCAGTGAGCAAATATCTGCAAAATTTCCTGAATGTACTGGCGCCTATGTACCTGGCAGTGATCAATTGAAGGCCATACTGTGGAATAATGTGGATATAAAACACCTTAAAGTTAGAGGCTACGTGTGACCATTTTTATTTGGGAGCTCTGATGGGACATAACCATGGTATTGATTGAGAGCTTTGGTCCCTAACACCTGCAGCCATCTGCCTCCGCGCTCTCCTCTCTCCGCTCTCCTCGCGGCTCGTGTGTGCGGTTGACGTAACCCTAATCTCTCTCTTCCTGATTAGATCCCAAGTGTTTCCTTCTTCACCTCGCACCACACATCTACAGCCTGCCACTCACCTCACACAGTCTTTTAATGTACTTTAATTTTATATAATATTTCAAGTACAAATGCTATGTTTAGAATCCGATAACAACACACAGCGATTAAGTTCCTAGCATGTTTTATGGTGAAATCCTTTGTATTACATTTGTAGTGCTCAGACCTACATTCATTCTCATTATGTTCAATCCTGGTGGTTGTGGTAAGCTACTGGAGCTCAGCTGCTCTGAAGTAGATTGGAAAGCGGGCTGTCTGTCTGTGCTTTAAGACCATGTGAACACCATCAATCACAACATACAGTATTTGTCTACCAGAAAAAGATGGGTGCCTTGGCCAAAGCCTCACCAACAATAATTGCTGCCAGAGCTGTATCGATTCAGAAATTTTAGGTTGTGGTCTCACTTGTTGGCCTGGTTCACTTAACTTGACCAATCTTGGACCAATCCTGGTTCACGTTGGGAAAGAATGCTTTATTTGTGGGTGTGAAACAAGTGAAGCTGTGTCCACTGGTCACATAACTTATCATTTGAAACACATCTGTGAAGAATTGTACTTCTAATGAACCAGAATGAATCCAGCTCATCCATCCAACTCCTTCATCCATCCAACCATTTCTACTACTTAGAAGCTACAAAGACAACGCAGAACCCTCTGTCTGCACATTTTCTTTTTTAAAATATCTGTTATTCTGCGAGTGGTCCTCTAAAAACATCAAAGGAGGTGAAGCAAAGACACAATACCCACTGCCTTCACTTCGAAGTTTCAAGAGGTGAAGTTTCAGAGGCTGCCCAAAGAACAGTTTGTCAAATAAACGTCCTCATTAAATTAAACTTAGCACAAGTTCAGACGGTCCCTCTACTTCAGGAGAATGCCTTTTTCGCTCCCTGCATCGCTGACAGTGAGGGGACAGCGAGCAGCTTGGAGATCACAGGCGGGACTTTGATCAGTGAGAAGTCATTTACATTATGTTGGAGTGATAATGCCCGGACTACAAAGAAGTGTACTGCAGCCGTTAAAATGAATCAACAAATATGAGCGTGCCCTTAGTCTCTGAACTCAACCTACCAAGAAAAAGAAAAAATTCAGACTTGAAACTCATTTTCCACCTGTGGTAAAACATCTTCACAAGCTTCCAAGTCAGGCACACATTGACTTTAAAATCCTCATTCACATTCACACTTACTTCACACTAAACAAGCACATTCACCAGGCGTGTGTCTCGTAATCACAATCACATAGTTAAGTCAAAAGGTCCTTCTGCTTGTCATGTATATAAATTGATGAGAATAGCTGCGATGGTTCACTAATTTGACAATACCATGTTATATGAATTGCTGCTCTGAATCCTGAATCCTTTATGGGAAAGGAGTAGGGCCTCATGAGCTTTTTTTTCTCCAGCTCAACTTAATAAAAAAATAAAAAAATAAAAATGTTTGGTTTTCATTTGGCCGATTCAGCTTTCTCACATGATGTTCCTTTTAATGCTCTGCCTAATAATGGGAACTTTGACACTGAGGAATATAGGCACCCTGCTAATTGTTTACTCTTCTGAAAACCTAACAATATTTGTATTAGTGACTGGAGCGTGGGGCAACACTTGTTTGTCTGGTTCACTTTAACTGGACCAACTCTGGTTCGATCACTTGGGGCAAAAAGGTTTTGCCCCAGACTTTGTGCAGCCGGCGGAGACTGGGCTTTCTGTTTAACATCTGTTTTTATTTCTACTCCATGTTTGACTTTGTTTTCTGACGCCCTGGTGCAGAATGACCTGCTTCTTCTTCTTGCACTTTGACAGTCGAAAAGGAGACAGAGTGTGTTCGTGAGAGAAAGACAAATGGCTCCTATCCAACACAGACATGACAATGAGAGAACAACATTTCAGTCTTCACACAAACAAGATGCGTTTGAAGCGTCAGAACTTGCTCTGTTTTTCTTAAAAGTAGTGAGTACTTCCTATAAAAGGTAGGAAGTACTCATTACTCAGATGTACCAATACATTTGTTTTTTTCATGAATAATCTTATCAGCATGTGGGTTTTAAGTGTTATAACTGTGGTTGAGACGCACCAGGGACAGACAACGCAAATTAGCCTCAATTAGAATAAATATAATGCAAAGGTGTTCAGTTGTTTGGACACAACACTGTACAAAACAACCGAGTTAAAAGAGTAGTGATGGAAGAATTGATCCAAAATATATTCTGAGATCCCTAAATATTCGTGGGTTCCTTTCATTTTTTTTAGTAGTGTTCCAACTCAACAGACTCGAAAGTGGATGGCGTATTAATTAAAATGAAATATGCAGGGTTTTTTTTTTTTTTACAAATGAACTGAAAATGTGTTTTTCAGTTCAAGCCAGGAGTTGTTAGAGCAATGAAGGACTTCCTATGCTCAAGGAAATTATGCAGAACTTTGATTTGTGATTGCCGCACTTCATAAAATCAAATCAAAATAAAATCCTTGTTATTGTCCATCTGTATATTAGGGCAACTCTATAGGGACTAATGCACTGACCAACATTATGCACTCTTTCACAACAGTCTGATGAGGTCTTTGAGCCATAAGCTTCACTCTATGTCAGCCGCCATGTTGGATCAAGATTGTCCATCTCACCTGGGCTTCGCTCGGTTCCTCTCCTCTCAATCTCCAATCTGACGTTTTCTCCACCATTTTGTCCTTAATCTTGATTCGTCCATCTTTAAAAAATATATATACTCCCAAAGGAAATGTTAATCCATCTAGTTCCCCATATCGTAACACCGCCACCGAATGAGTTGATGTCCTTCCTGGTTTAGTTAGAACCATTTGCGAGGCGTGGGAAGGTATTAGTTGCGTCCGTGTTAAAGAAGTGTCCGCCACACACTCACATGACCAGCAGCCTCAGAGTTAATCCCATAATCCTTTGCTCCTAACACCAAACAAACTCACAGACATCACACCTGTCCATCTGCACTCATCTTCACTTCTGGCTCAATTGACTTTTGGTGCATTTTAATACTATTCCTGAATGGATTATATTTGTATATTTGGTTTATATGAAAACGCTTCCAGCTCTTGTGTTCTGGGCCAAATCCGCCTCAGTCTAATCCTTTTCTTTCACACTTGACTCTCGCTTGTTTAAAGTTGACCTCAGTTACAGTAGATAGGCTCAAGCTGGCTTTAGATACAATATTCAAACAAAAGAAAAGTGTAATCTGAATATTGCATTGCATTATTTCACCAAACATTGTGCAGATGGTTGTTATGTTCTGTCATGCATTCATAATTCATTTTTTAAAATCTGTTGGTTTTTTTGTAACTGTTCTTACAATCACCTCAATATCAACATCAGATCATGGAAGCAGACATATAATTTGGGGTTACCGTGTGAGTTACCGTATTGACAGTAACACAATATAAAAAAATGTCATCTTACAAGTAATATATTATAGGCCTTTGTTATACCTGTGTCCGAGACTGGTGTCCTATGGGAGTGCGTCATAGGAACTAGATACTTCAGTTGAATAAACTGGATCTATACTTCTGTAATAACAACAGAATCAGTCTCAGTTTTCAAGTAATGATGGATAATACATGAAACTAAATGGACTAGTTTTCTAAGCCGTGGGTATAATATACTAATACAAGCGGAGGGCTCTGATTGGTTGAACTTGTGGGTGGTCTGCTCCCACCAAACTTCCCTTTTACCTCAGATGAAAGCATTTCTAAAGCTGTGCCTATGTGTAAATATTCTGTATGTGAATTTAAAGTATGCGCAAAAGGGATTGTGAGCACTAACAATGAGACGGACTAAAATACCCATTTCCGGCAGGTACTTTAAGATAAGATAACCTTTATTTGATGCACAATGGGGAATGTCAGAGTCTTTTTAAAAGTTCCAATTTAAATAGTAATTGTGAGACTAATTTAATAAATTATCTTTGACGAGTTAAGAAACCTAATTCGCACAATGGATGTAATTGCACTTTTTTTTCTCCAAATCACATCTTTCTGACACCAGGGCATTCAGACTGAGCATATAAATGTGATCTCATCTCTATTGTCAAAACTAATCCTCTTTTTCATGGGATCATCATCTCCTTTCCTCTTCCGTCCTGGTTTTGTTCTGTCGCTCTTAAAGTCTCCATCTCTCTGTTTCTCTGTGTGTCAGTATTTCCATTCGAGCTGTCAGACCCTGCAGTTAATAAGACATTTCACTTCCACACCTGAGCCTTCCCTCCAGCCGCAACACCATTCTACTGCGAAATGAGAGAGACGGAAGCGTTGTTCTAAAGGCACTCGGAGGGTTTTACGTTTTAAAAGTATAGCCTGTCTCACTCAGTCAGTTGTGATAATACTTAATGTTTTTGTAACATTGTTATTTCGTTAATAGCGTACATGTGATGACAGTCTGTGTGGATGACAGGACAAGCTAAAAAGTGGCTTGAAAAATACTATATAAATATATGTGAATATATATCCATCTATCTATCTATCTACGGTATATTTAAGTACACAAGTGTCCTTTAGTTATAAGAATCTATAAAACTCACAAACTAAGATTGGGTTGTTGACACCTTTAACAGCCTTTTTGTAAATAAAAGAGGGAATCGTCTGATTAGAAAATAATAACAACAGAATAAAGTAAAATTGCACCGTGGTTGATGCAGTACTTGATTTAGGTTTTATTTTGTAATTTGGTAACCTCTGAGTCTTGCTTAATTCTTCTTTCTGTTGTTTTATTGCCTGCCCTGCCCTCATGTGTATCAGTATAGTACTCAAATACTTGAATATACAAGCTACATCTGCTCATGAGCGTGGGGCCTAGCTGGTTAAAAGGTTGAACCCCTTCAAATAAAGGAGAATCTCAAAGGGCAATGCGTAATCAAAAAATGCGGAGCCACTGGGAATACCAGGGGCCACAGTGGGACATTGTAATGGCTGTATTTTTTTTAACCCTTATTACACATTACAGTACAAACAGCATTGTGTTCTTAGGCAAAACACTTCAACCAGATTTCCTGCATATGTCTGGTACAAGTGAATGGTCAGTGTTGATCAGAGGGAAACGGCAGGGACGGACCAAACATCTAATTTCGAAAACTCTCTCCCGGGATGTTAACTGTAAATGAAAAATCCCCCTAATCCCCCCATTCCCCATGTGCAGTATACAGTGGCAGGTTGTGTCTGGTGCATGCAGACATCTTCAGATCTAAGTGGATCACAGTAAAGTCCTGGATTAGACGCAGGTCACACAGACCCCAGACCTTTGTACACTATTATTGACCTCAAAACCCTAGGGAAACCACCACTACAGTAAACATGACAGAAAACAACTCAAGCAATATGCAAAAGTGAATCAATTCAAAACAAATTACAGAGAAATTGTGTTTCCAAAATATAGAATGGAAGAACAGAGTTTTACTTTGTTTTTCTCATTAAATTGAATGCTCTTTGTGCTAAAATTATGTATTTCTGAATTCAGTTGCCTCAGCGTTGATTAACAGTGTTGTGTAAATGTATGTTTATATAAAAAATTGCAACCGCTTATGTTTGTAATCAGAGGGGGTGGGAGTACATAAGTTTACTTCCTCACTCCCTTTTTGTGCTGTGCGTTTTTGGCACATAAGATGTGCTTTATTTATCTCACAGAGGAGAAATGTCATGTATTATTACTCACATTAATTTCTGTTTAATGTAAATGCATATAACAATGCATGTACATGTTTAAAAGACATTGGAAATGTGTAAGCTTGAATAAAATCTAAATGTTGCTATTTCCCTGATCAAGAAAAGTTGGCTGCTTTACCTGTGTCTACCGTAACTTCCATGTTGTTATTACTTGTCCAAAGAGCAAAAAGCCCATGAGTGGTGCTGCTGAAATGCTTTGGAAGTTACCAGATGTTGCAATTGCTACATTCTATAAAGCTCAGGTCCTCAGATAGTTCACAATAGAGATGATAATAAATATTGTAAATCGGAAAACCGTGTATGGAAATGTAATTTTATGTCATTTCATAGTGCGACATTTAAACATGACAAGAATCAGAGTGAATAGCTCAAAAGCTTAAGGCAACTATAGACTGCTTTTATTTCAATATTTAGTCTTGTCACTTGAACTTTGAAGACACCAAAACTTATACCCGACATTACCTCAGCATCCCCTACTGGTCAGTGCAGCACTCACAGATTTGATCTCATACACACAGCGACACACATGAGATGAGTGGTATTAGGAGAGAGGCTGATGTAGCACTTCAGAACAGAAGAACTGCAGAGTGGAGCGGCGCTATTGTCCCACTGTGACCGTATACAACTGGAATGTGTCACGACGCACACATAAAAACACAAAGATTAGACCACAATGCTACGTGGCATTTGAACTAGGACCAGACCACAGACCAATCAGCTGATGACAATTATTTGTATTCAAAGTGGATGCACTTGATTTTGACAGCTATGAAAGAGGAATATCATTATTAGCTTTATTATTAGTAGCATTTTTAATATTATTACACTGTCAACAGGAACATAGTGCAAAAGTGCCAATTCCCAATCTCTGGACAAAAAAGGTATATAATTAGAAACAGCTTTTCAGTATATATAATACATTAATCATGATCATTTTACCCATAAAGACAGTTTGATATTTTTTCTGTCCATTGATTCTAGGCTGATCCAAAATGCAACTAATAAAAATGTAAACTCTTGTTGAATCATGATGCCATATAACCGAACATGTCAGGCCAATAATAATATGTAATACACAGGCAGGTGTAGGTGAGAAAAGACATATACATCTGATAATGTTTCAAAAACGTGTAAAAACTTTATTATTTTTCATGTCTTCACTGTTTTTGACTTCATTGTTCTGCCATACCTCTGCACATGCCACTACAATCCTTCGCAAATGAACAAGAACTCCTGAACCAAAATGGCCACTTCCTCCTCTTTTGTCAACCTGCTTCACCGACAGAGCGCAAAGAGGGTTGGAAAACCTGGAGCCTTTGTTAAGTTTACGGCGGGGAAAGTTCATAGCCCAGACCCCCATCTTTGAAGTGGTCCATGCGTGCTCAGTGAAGTGGTCTGCGTGTCCAACCCACACGGGAGCTGAAGGAACGACAGCAAAACGGAGGAATTTACAAATGAAAGAGGCAGCTTTTTCTCTTAATGCGATTAAATTTTTCCATCTCGCTGCTCCCCGGGCCGAGCTGAAGGAGGCGAGGAGGAAAAACTAGGATTGTACAGAAGAAACATGGGGGTGAGGAGGGGAGAGGGCTGAGGATGAGAGAGCTTTGACAATGAACTTGCTCGGAGTGCAGTGTCTATGTCCTGCCACCTGTTGTATTATAAAGTTGATTTAAAACACAAAAAAACTTAGTGATATTTCAAAATGAACCTTGGAAATGAACAAAATAAAAGATTTAAAAATAAAAATCTGTTGGGTCAGAACCATTGAGTTCAGGTGACCATCTACTTTACTTTTTTGTTAAGAGTACTGAAAAAACACACTATGTGAACAATTATATAAGAAAATGTTAGAATATTTTGCATTCTAGAAAAAGTTGAGTGAGGGTGGTCCTCTCTTTTTCACTTTTCTGTCTGAAAAAGCTGATCAAAGGATGTGACAGAGGACAAAACTACATGCTTGCAAAAACGATATCGAACCAAAGCTAATCCTATTGCATTAG